TTACAAGCTTCAAATGCCTTCGTGGCTTCATCGTTTCATCTGATTGACGTTTTATCTTTTTTCTTCGTGTTATGAAGGTAGGCGTGAAGTGGTGCTTGGATATCAGCGGCTTTAGGTATGTGTTCTCTGTAAAAATTTATCATCCCAAGAAAACGCCTTAGTTCTTCGATAGTTTTAGGCTTCGCATAATCGATGATTGCTCTGACTTTTTCAGCAGGCGGTTTGATTCCTTCCTTGCTGACGGTGAAACCAAGAAATTGAACTTCTTGTTGGCCAAATATGCATTTCGAAGGGTTGATTGTGATTCCGTTGTCTTCTAATCACTGTAGCACGGTGCGTAGATGGGTTTCGTGCGTTTCTTTATCGGGGCTTGCAACAAGATCATCAATAAATGCGAAAACGAAAACCAGTCCATGAAGTACTTCGTGTATAAATCTTTGGAAGGTTTGACCAGCATTCTTCAATCCCGGGGTCATTCTTGGAAATTCGAATAATCCCATTGGGGTAATTATTGCTGTCTTCTCTATGTCTTCATCGCGTACTCTTATTTGTTGGTAAGCTCGGTTGAGATCGATGGTGGAGAATATAGTCTTGTCTGACAGTTGATGAGTGAAATCCTTGACTCGCGGTATTGGGTAGAGTTCAGGAGTGGTATTAAAATTCAGTTTTCTGTAATCTCCACAAACTCGTAATTCTCCATTTCTCTTCGGTACAATGTGAAGTGGTGATGACCAAGGGCTTTTGCTTGGACGGCATATTCCTTGCTCAATCATGTTTTCGAATTCCTTTCGAACTTGTTCGTATAGATGTGGTGCGATTAGACGAGCACGGCAATGAAGTGGTAGTCCATTAGTTTCGATGAAATGCTCAACGTCGTTCTTCGGTGTTAATTTCATTGAAGTTATTCTTGTGATTCCAGGGATGAGGATATTATGATACGATTGTTGAACATTTATGCTTCTTATTGTGGGCAGATTGGTTGCTTGGACGAAAGACTGAGATGCAAGATTGGTTTTCCCATCGACGATTCTTCTATTTTTGATGTCGACGATCAACTGGTGATGTTGAAGAAAATCAGCACCGATGATTGGTTTGCTGACTTTAGCGACAATAAATCTCCATTTGAATGGTCGGCGTAGGTTTATATGTGTATAGCTTGCTTTTCTTATCGGTGACGAAAAGACGGTAGGACTTTGCTGTTACGCTGGATCCCGTCGCATCGAGCGTATTAGTTAGTTTTCCGACTTCGTATTTTCATTTTTGAATGTACACGGTGTTGTGCATTTTCTTGCCTCGAACCCGAAACGTCGATGATAGTAGCAATAAGGGAATCTTGTTCTTGAGCTTGTTCGACTTCTAATTGCAGAGACGAAAAGGAGTAAAAAAGGGATTTCTTCGCTTCTCGCTCCATAATGATGGCTTGATTACACTGATTTTATATATACTGAAGTCTTCCTTGGTATTTTTCCTACTATTCTTGCAAGGATCTTCCTTCCCGGTGTTCGTAACGGGATCTTCCCTCTCGGTGTTCGTAATGGGGTCACCACTGTAATAGTGGTGATATGAGGTCCACTATTAACAGACTCCGAGTGGTTTAGTGGCGGAGAAATGAAACTACTATTTTATGTGTAGACGAACGGTGTATGGAGTAATGGAATATGGAATATATTTTACGTCAACCCTGCCTATATTTATATGTCCGGCTACGTCGTTAGTTTACCAATAATAACAATTTTTATTTGCCTAGCCAATTACAATTCTTACATTATGACCAATAAAGATTAATCAAAATACAACTATTATGTGCGTTCCGTTCGCCGGCGTGAGACTCGTGTATATCTTCTCGTAGCTACGTCGCTGGCCTGCGCTATAAAAGTTGTGCAGGACGGCGCGCGCGCGTATGAGTTGCGTCCGGACCGCGCTAGCAGGCAGTCACGTCAGTCGGTCGTCGGCTCCCGCCCAGGTGGGAGAAGTACAGCACGTCGCTTCGCAGTGGGTGCACGTGCTGTGGGGCCAACTCGGCTTGCGTAGAGCCTCGAGGACGCCCCTGACCCTACCCGGGACGTTACGTACCCAACGTTGCATATAACCTACATGCTGGGAAGCGAACTCCGAAGGCCCGGCGTGCTGCTGGGAGCGCGCGCCTGTTTACACTCCGTCATATCGTCTCCGCGGGCCTGGTTGCTGACCCATCGGCAGATCCCTTCCCAGAGGCGCGAGATACGCCAACTTCTGCCTAGGGATCCACCAGGCCTTTACCTAGAGCCAGGAAGGAACATTGGAGGCCCGGAGTGCTGCTATCTGGAGCACACACCTGTCGGCAGGATTGGCCCTGTATCGACTCCCTGTCCGCGGGACTCCGCGGGACCCTCCGGTAGCACTTGCCTGGTGGCGCGCAATACGCCAAAGCAGATTGCCTACAATGTCGTACAATGTACGGCTCCCAAGACCGGCCCATAGAAATGGGCTGTGAGGATTACCCGGGTAATGGGGAACACCCCGAGGCCCGAAACCTGCATGGGATAAACAAGAGTAGTCCCTTGTAGACGACAACACTGGCGCGCACGTAGTCGGCCAACGGCGGCGGCGTGGGACACAGCTCCGGAACAGGAAGAAGCGAAGCTGCGACGTTGAAGAAACGGCTTCAAAAATAGTCGACGGATACATAACGATAGCGGCGTGAGAAGACGATGTGGCGCCGACTGATATTCGCGGCTGTTTTTTGTTTCTTTATTAGAACTTTAAATATATACGTCAAATTATCTCACATCGATGCAGCCCGCAGTATCTCAGTAACCGGGGATAATTAGAAAATAAATGTTTTCTTCGCCTTCTGTGTTATGGTAGCAGCAGGGTATATATTATTTAGGGTTGATTAGCCTGGCTGCTACACGGGAAAAACTTCTTCGACGATCCCTAACGGCCAACGGAGAGGCGGCGTATTCTCTTTGGTGAGTACAACCACAGTTCCGACAGTTAAAGGTTCAGTTGTTGTGTTCCATTTTTGCCGAGACTGCAACGTATGCAAGTATTCCGTCTTCCATCTTTTCCAAAACAACTGCACCAACCGGTCTAATAATTTATGGCGTGCAGAAATACTAAGTTTGTTCTCGTCCGTGTCTATGGCGGGCAGATATTTCAAAGGCGTTAAATGGTGGAAGGAGACTGCGTTCCCGTATTCGACAGTGAGCACAGGGCGACGTCACCCGGTCGACCGTTAGAATCGTCGACTTTAGTATGTGTTGTAGTTAATCCTTGTCCGATTTACTCGACACGAATATGTTGCCACTTTCGAAATGTAATAACGTGTGATGTCTGCTGGCGCACTTGTTACACACGGAACTAGAATTACATTTAGCAACTAAATGTCAACTTAGGCAATTTAAAAAAGTTGTTCGTCTTTACTATTCTATAACGTTCGCTGGGTGAATGTTTACAGAAGATCACACAATTATACAAATTACCGTGTTGTTTATTTTTACATAGAACACAGGCGCTATGAGGCGATGTAGGCGCCGCGGTTACGTACGTCAGAGATCTAGCGGTTCTAGTTGATGAGATCGATTTGCGCTCGACACATTTCTTAACTTGTTGTTTAACATTCGAATCACTTTAATTTGATCTCGTACAAAGGAAGCTAAGGAATCGAATGACGGTAACTCAGAGCAACGATGCTCCATTTAAAACGCACGTACGGTGTCCAAGTCTAGCTTCTTTAAAGCGATATGTAGAAACACAACGTCTATAAGGTCATTAAATTTCAGGTTCTTGAGCGCAGCTATCGATGCTACGAATTTATCCAAAAACTGCTCTAAGCCAGTGATGTTCGAGGATGATATAGCTTTAAGATCGAATATCTGGTCTAGATATGAAGAGGCTAACATTCGCTTATCTTCATATTTGTTTTTAAGCGTTTCGAAAATTAACGAATAATTGTTTGCTGTTGGTGTATAACCCAAACAAATGGACTGTTATGTTATGTATAGTGTTTTGAAAGCTATTAATAAACAACGGCCAAGTTTAATATCTCCATTGAAAGCAGGAATATCTATAGGGGGCAATCTAAGTGATTCACGTGGGCGTACCTGAATTTCTGGTTTTGCTTCGCTCTGGGCTGGAGACTGTAAGAGCTTTGCCGTCCTTTTTATGCGACACAACATATCTTCAAATGGTAGAAGTGATTGATAGTTCACTGTATACTTAGGGTCGATTTGTAATTCTAAACTATTAATTTTGTCTAATATACTTTCGTAATCCGATCTCAAAGAGTCCACTGTTTCGATTTCACATAAAAACGTTTCCCGCACTGAATCTACATATATATTTTTATGTGATCACTTATGTATTGTATACGTGAAAAAAAGTACGTTCCTCTTGGCGTAAAGAGTTTTAAGTTTAATTTCATTTCCACTAACTGCCATCTTGAATCGAATGAAGAGTATCAGGAGTAGAATAATAACAGGGTTTATGTAATAAAAATATAAATTTATAATACAGACTGTATTCGACTGTACTCCATCTCATTCTGTAACAGATGTATTTGTGATGACCTATATAATATGTATAATATGTTTCTCTTTTTAGTGTCGCTTTTTTGTTTTATTGAGTTTTAAATCACAACGATTCTAAAGAAATGTTCACTTTCATAACAGGTTTAAAAAAACTAGATTGGAACTATTGTATCTAAAAATTAACTACCGTTTCTGTTCTACGAGCAACCAGTGTTCGAAAACATGTATGAAACAGAAAGCTTGAACAAACTCTTCTATGTTCTTTCCAGCCTCATTTCCTAAGATCAAAAGAGATAGAGCATGTAATACCTGTTCTCATATAATAAAGTAAATAAAAGTAATTAGTAAATAAATGTAAGTAGTAAGCTGTAAGTAAATGTAAACGAAAAAGTGTGAGAATGAAAGTAAAAAAATATTACAGTCGATTTATGGCGCATCGTAAACCATTACATATACACATATTTGCGAATATTTAACTTATTTTATTACCTTAAACCAACCGCGTGATCGAGCTGTTTAAAATGCCACTCTAAAGGTTCTCGAGTTTCCATCATCACCTGCTCTAAGGTCTGAAAAAATATTAGATATATAATATAATCAAAATCTAACATTTATAGAAAATTTTACATAATATACTGCCAAAAGCATAAAAAAATGATTATTACCTTGTTATCGAATACTCCTTGCGAGTCCAATGTGTGAAGATTTTGTTCCATTAGTGCTAAACCCGCTGCATATAGCGTAGCTTCGCTTAACTGAAGCACGGATAACGCCACCCAAAACAGAGCCTTGTGTATTGGCGATTCCTAAACAATAATAAGACACCGAAAATGAATTGTAAATTGGAATGATAAAAAATAAGATCATCAAATAATTATTTAAAAATATTATGTTAATAACACAATTAATTATCCATACGTTTTTCTTACCGAACGGATAAAACTGCATTGTAAACTATTAACTTATTATTAACAGTTAATTTGCACAGACCACGGGTACAACAGAATACCCGGGATTAAGTATGTTATGTTACAAAGTAATCAAAAGTTAATCGATCGAAACATTTCTGGTATTTCTTGAATTCTGCTAACCATGCAGAATGCAATAGCATTAATTAAGTTGTAAATATATTTCATCAATTTTTTTTCTTTATTCGTTAAAGCGAATAGTTTTAAAATAGATATTAAAATTTTATTTAATATGATTTAGACTGAATTATGTTTACCGGATGCAACAGTGGCTGTAGTCTCGTAAGGCACATGATGAGAGCTTCCAGAAGTGCAAGGTCGTTAAAGGATTCCAATGCTTTTACCAATATCCTCAGTAGTTGCTTCATGTCGTCGTCGGTTACATTTTTACCTTGGTAAAAAATTAGGAAAGTATAAATATAGGGAAAAATATAAATTAAAACAATTTTTATATTGCCAAAATAAAAAAATTCATACTTATGCATCCAAACACTATCAACGCTCTAGGTTGTAAGGCCGGATTGAAGCAGAACGCAAAACTTTTAGCTAGTGACGTCCTGGAAAAAAAAAACAATTTTAAGTCTGAATTAGAGAGGCCTTTTACCAGGCAGTAATGTTAGAAGTTTTATCGCTTTTGAAGTATTACCTGTGGACTCAATGATATATAGCTTTGCCATCAACTACGTTACGATGAAGAAGAGAAAGGAGCAACATCAAAATACACCTAAATATGTCCTCCTCTCTAGTCAAACCGCCTTAATTGTAATGTTTTGTCGGCAATCTCAGTACAAAAGTCATTCACAAGCAAGCAGGAAAGCGGCAGTAGACAAAATAAGTTGCAGTTTATATTACCGTCAAAGCAGTTGTTTCGTCGTTTTCACTAAGAGTTTAAACGTGTAGACATTAAATATACGGAATGGCAAAGATTTTACCTATTAAAATCCAGTTCAAATTTATTTAAATGTACTTTATTGAAAGCGATAACACGGGACAACTAACTTCAAAACCCCCACACATTTAGGAGAGCTGTGGCCATGGTTGTTGATGATGATATTGAAATGTTGTACTTGCGAATTAGTGTGTTAACCACGTAGCGGTGGTGTAAGAGCATCCACTACTCCATATCATCACGAAAGGTCGTAAGAGGGGTTTTTATAGAATAAGAGTGACAAACGATCACACAGTCCACCTGATGGTAAGTGGATGCTGTAGCCCACTGACATCTACATTTATCCTCGATCCAAAACGTAGATGCGTTGTCACCCCTAAGGACTAAGATGGAATGCCTCGTTTCCAGTAAAAATGGTCTCCGGATCTCTACATTCACCATACGAAACACAGCAGTATTAAGCTGCTATTTCACGCAGGTATTATGTAAGAGCGTGGTCCTTCCCCGGTCGAGCCAACCTACCTGTGCTACAACCATAATACAGCTGCAGCGTGACTCTACCACGTATAAAAAATACGTGTGGCACTCGGGTACTGCCGCGATAAAGCTATTGCAAAGCATTTTTATCAACTTATGCAATTATAATTATTTATTTTATTTATGCAGTTTTTTTTTCTTTGTTTTTTTTTTTTCTTTGATATTAATTCAAGTTACACATTTTGATCGTGGTGACCGATAATAAAACAATTTGTTTTCTTTTATTGAATAAATGAGAAGTTAATATTGTTTAAAATATTTTTATTATCTTACAATAGATGTATGTTATTCAGGAATTTTTATCATTGAAACTATAGGTTTATGGTAATTAACGAGTTCTTCCGACAAACGATAATTTTCTATAAAGTCTGTGTTTATAAAATACTCTAAATTCACAAAAGTTGCTAGCATGACATACTTTGGATTTATATTAGTCGTCGTGCTTCTTGCAATAAACTATATTATTGTTTAAAATATTTTTTTATCTTACAATACATGCAACTAGTCTACACGCATACGTCTAGTCGCACGCACACAAACACCGTGCCGAAGTCTGCCGAACTTAAACGACGTTAGACGATGTTAGGTTTTTTTCGTTACGGAATTTCTTGATTCGGTCGCCGCGCTCAAAGCCCGCGATAAAAGCTATGTAATACCTATAAAATGTCTTTATCTATCCCTAAGATGAAAACGCATCAGTAGCCCTCGTTGTTTAAAGTTGGCTGCAGGTATTTCTGGAACACAGGGCCCTTGTCATCAAATTGGCTGCTGTAAGTTCGTTTGTCAGGTTGGTGAGGGTTCATAGGGAAAACAAACCAGGAGATGGACAGCAGAGTCTTCATAATCACAACTAAAAAAATAATTTATTGCGTTCGCAAACCCAACCCGTATGTAAAGCAGGCAACAATGACAAATATCTTACCTATGAGGTCCTCTATGAGGAACGCCTTATGTTCGGCAGAGGACTTCTGATAGGCATTTATAAGCAATCTATAGAGCGCGCATTAGCGAGTTAGAATAATTGCGTATGGGTGTGAACAGTCTGGAAATGGCAAGGCCAACGTCATTAATCACTAAAGGTCACGTGCGTTAATTACTTCTCTCGACGGTATTTATTTGAATTTTAAGTTACCAGCGTGAAATGTGTAGAACCAAACTGCAAAAACGATTCACAAAAACAAACTAAGAAGAACAATGACATTTATTTTCATCGATATGTAATACGTCGATAAGAAAACACTGATTTTAACGATATTACTTAAGGTGTCAAAGGGTGTAATGGGAGGCGCGCGGCGGGTGCGTCATGACAGGGTTTTCCCCGAATTAGAGCTAGTGCTGTGGCACTTTGTACTTGAATATTTTTTTAATAACATGATTTATTTTTGTAATAAATATACTATATAGTATAAGAAGTTAAGATCGTTTGTATTCCTACCTCATATGTAGCAATGTCTAAAATAAATCTTTTGAAAACCTTTTTATCAAATTAAATATGTTGAATAAAACTAAATTTACGGATTTTATCGCGTTTATTTCACTACTTTTACTTATTTTTAATTCCTGACGTTTCGGGTGCTTTACAGCCACCATGGTCACGGGGGGGGACTGAGATGTTTGACGTCCCAATGTCATAGTTAGTCCGGCTACCTTCAGTTTTTGAATATTAATTTTTGGTCCGATTTACGCAAAACGAGCTTATAGTATCATGAAGTCTTGCAGTGGTATGCTTAGGTTTGGGTTTAATTTTGTTAATTATACCAAGCAGGTGGCAGCACCCATCCATCTTCTCTATTGAAATTTGGATGTTTTTTAATTTCAATAGCCTCGCGTATCATCCTTGGTAGGAATCGGTGTTCTTTTGCGAGAATTTGTGGTTTATCAAAACGAATGTAATGGTGGGGACGATCTTGAACATGTTCGCAGACTGCAGACTTCCCGGAGCGTCGGTGCTTCACGTCAGCTATATGTTCTTTCACGCGGGTTTTTATGGATCTTTTTGTTTGACCTATGTAAGAGAGACCACATTCACAATCTAACTTGTACACTCCTGCATCTTGTAGAGGGATATTACACTTGACAGATGGTAAAAATTGACTAATCTTCTTCGGCGGCTTGTAGTATGTTTTAATAGAAGCTCGCTTCAAGATGTAGCCAACCTTGTCTGTGACTCCTCTGACATATGGTAGTACAGCAGGTACACGCTCGACTGTGGCCGGCTTCACTCGGTCACTGTGACGTAGGCGCGGGACCCGAAGCTTGTTGTCTTGCAATACTTGCTTGACGTGCTGAAGTTCGGCAGCCAGATGTTTTCTGTCACAGATCCCTCGTGCTCTCTGAAACAAAGATTTACCCACGGTAGCTAACTGTGAAGGATGATGGTGAGATTCACCATTTAAATATCGGTTGGTATGGGTCTTTTTTCTATACACAGTGTGACCAATTGTATTATTAGGATTTCGAATGACTAAAACATCTAAGAAAGCTAAAGAATTATTTGCCTCTAACTCCATTGTGAATTGTATTTTAGAGTTTATAGAGTTAAGGTGGTTTAAAAATGCAGTTACTTTGTCAGATGGTAAAATTGTGAAAGTGTCGTCTACGTACCGCTTGTAGAATCTTGGATTTACAGGAGCAGTAAGAAGGGCTTTCTCCTCGAAGTCCTCCATGAATATGTCAGCGACTATGGGAGATACAGGTGAGCCCATCGCCACACCATCTACTTGCTTGTAGAACTCTTCCTTCCACAATAGATAGCCAGATGTGAGGCAGTGTTTGAGTAATACTGCATATTCAGCAGGCATGTTATTATACGTAAATCGGACCAAAAATTAATATTCAAAAACTGAAGGTAGCCGGACTAACTATGACATTGGGACGTCAAACATCTCAGTCCCCCCCGTGACCATGGTTGCTGTAAAGCACCCGAAACGTCGGGAATTAAAAATAAGTAAAACTAGTGAAATAAACGCGATAAAATCCGTAAATTTAGTTTTATTCAATGTGTAGTGTTCGCGTAAATTTAAGAAATCATTATGTGAACCAGTACGGACTGGTAATAGCAAATAAAATTCGCCGATTAGAAGATCTTAAAACCAAGCGCGCAAGATATATAACATCTTTAAATTTCTTGAAGAGATGCAGAGACCATAATCTCATTCCTACGTGTGTCAAAATATCAATAAAAAAGGACATTCGAGGAAGCGCAAAGGTCTTAAATCACGCAAGTAAAAAGTTGTTACGAACGGTGATTCAGCAGAAACGGTTCGATTTACATTTCATAAACAACACCATAGACAATTTGTTCAGTGAACTAAAGACAGTTTTAACGACATTTGATTTTAATAATTGCATCGAAACTTTAAACAAACGAGAAACAGCAAAATACAATGAATGCAAAAATAAACAAATAGAAAAATACCAAAAATTAACGATCAAATCAAATGCCAACCATCTAAGTCAACGTCAGAACGAAACACAACCGTTGACCACAGACGCAAACAATAAACAACGCACGGTCTATAATCTGTCAAAACATACACTGGACGAACCAACAATAAAGGTGTTAGCGAAGGGAATGAATTTCGCATTAACACCGCGAAAAATCCCGTACGAAGAAATTATCTGCAGCGTTGAGGATTGTCTGTTTAAAAATAATATTGGTAAGGAAGATTTGGAGGCTATACGTCAAGATATTTCGTCCTTGTTACGTCGTAGTTCAGTGCCGAAACCAAACCTTCCTAAAGACGAATTTACAGCGTTGATTAACTTACGGAACAGACCAGATCTAACGATTCTCCGCGCGGATAAAGGAAATGCTACGGTAATAATGGACACGTCAGAGTATAATTTTAAAATACTACAGCTTCTATCGGACGAAAGTACATACAAAAAGGTCAAAACAGACCCCACAACTAACACGCTTAAAGCAACTAGCGATTTAATAAAGAAACACTCCGAAAAATTAAATCTCGACGTGAATTCGCTAATACCATCATGTACCAAACCACCGAGGTTGTATGGGTTACCAAAGATACACAAACCAAACGCTCCACTACGTCCTATAGTGAGCCAGATCGATTCACCAACTTATAAGCTGGCACAACACTTGGCAAAAGTACTGTCACCACTGAGAGGACATACCAGAGCACACACAAAGGATTCATACCATTTTGTTAGTGAGATAAAAGACCTACATCTCGCTGACAATGAAACTATGGTCAGTTTTGATGTTCAGTCACTATTCACATGCCTACCTATTGAAGACTGCATATCAATTGTAACTAGGAAGCTAGAATATAATAACATGCCTGCTGAATATGCAGTATTACTCAAACACTGCCTCACATCTGGCTATCTATTGTGGAAGGAAGAGTTCTACAAGCAAGTAGATGGTGTGGCGATGGGCTCACCTGTATCTCCCATAGTCGCTGACATATTCATGGAGGACTTCGAGGAGAAAGCCCTTCTTACTGCTCCTGTAAATCCAAGATTCTACAAGCGGTACGTAGACGACACTTTCACAATTTTACCATCTGACAAAGTAACTGCATTTTTAAACCACCTTAACTCTATAAACTCTAAAATACAATTCACAATGGAGTTAGAGGCAAATAATTCTTTAGCTTTCTTAGATGTTTTAGTCATTCGAAATCCTAATAACACAATTGGTCACACTGTGTATAGAAAAAAGACCCATACCAACCGATATTTAAATGGTGAATCTCACCATCATCCTTCACAGTTAGCTACCGTGGGTAAATCTTTGTTTCAGAGAGCACGAGGGATCTGTGACAGAAAACATCTGGCCGCCGAACTTCAGCACGTCAAGCAAGTATTGCAAGACAACAAGCTTCGGGTCCCGCGCCTACGTCACAGTGACCGAGTGAAGCCGGCCACAGTCGAGCGTGTACCTGCTGTACTACCATATGTCAGAGGAGTCACAGACAAGGTTGGCTACATCTTGAAGCGAGCTTCTATTAAAACATACTACAAGCCGCCGAAGAAGATTAGTCAATTTTTACCATCCGTCAAGTGTAATATCCCTCTACAAGATGCAGGAGTGTACAAGTTAGATTGTGAATGTGGTCTCTCTTACATAGGTCAAACAAAAAGATCCATAAAAACCCGCGTGAAAGAACATATAGCTGACGTGAAGCACCGACGCTCCGGGAAGTCTGCAGTCTGCGAACATGTTCAAGATCGTCCCCACCATTACATTCGTTTTGATAAACCACAAATTCTCGCAAAAGAACACCGATTCTTACCAAGGATGATACGCGAGGCTATTGAAATTAAAAAACATCCAAATTTCAATAGAGAAGATGGAGGGGTGCTGCCACCTGCTTGGTATAATTAACAAAATTAAACCCAAACCTAAGCATACCACTGCAAGACTTCATGATACTATAAGCTCGTTTTGCGTAAATCGGACCAAAAATTAATATTCAAAAACTGAAGGTAGCCGGACTAACTATGACATTGGGACGTCAAACATCTCAGTCCCCCCCCGTGACCATGGTGGCTGTAAAGCACCCGAAACGTCAGGAATTAAAAATAAGTAAAAGTAGTGAAATAAACGCGATAAAATCCGTAAATTTAGTTTTATTCAATGTGTAGTGTTCGCGTAAATTTAAGAAATCATTATAAGAAATCATTAAATTAAATATGGTTAATATACTTTTCTAATTATAGATTTCCGAAAAGCTGTGAATTGGCAAATAAACGGGTGGTAACAATAAAAAGTATAACAATAATTTTCGATGCATATTTAGTGAAAGGGGCAAAGGAAGTCTAATGCAATTATAATTTGATTTAAACGTTTTTGTTAAAACATCACCTCCCGCGCTCTATTGCTTGCTTATATACTGTAAGGCTGTAACGGTAACGAGTAAGTGATTACCAGGTGTTGAGCCAGTCGCAGTGAGGGATGTCACGCATGCAGGCTTCCATGATCTCGAGCAGCGCGTCGGTGATGGTCTCCAGCGACTGCAGCGGCAGTCGCTCGCGGTCCGACTGCAAGTGCGCGTGCGAGTGCGGGCCGCAAGCGGCGCCGCCCAGCGACGACTCCGCGCACCCACTGTACGACTGCTCCGAGTACCTGACAATCAATCACAACCTATAACACTTGCCGCGAACTTCTCAACGTTGGACTAAATAGCTAAGCATTTGACTATGGCACTGCGGGTTATTATTTTCACAAGTGTTGTACCCGCCTACAAAAACTACTCAAGATCCATTCTGTTTTCTGTGTCTGATGAAGTCAGTGAAATACACCAAAGATAAAAAATCTAATATAGAACTTTTTAAACATAATTTGAGGAAAAGTCATTAATTTTTTACCCCTTTATCTACTTATAAACTCATTGGTTAGTAAATGAAAAACGATCAAATCCCGCCTACGTCACAGTGAACGAGTGAAGCCGGCCACAGTAGAGCGTGCACCTGCTGTACTGCCATGTCAGAGGAATTACTGACAAGATTGGCTACATCTTGAAGAGCGCTTCCATTAAAACGTACTTATTTATTTATTTATTTTTATTCTTTATTTCATCCTTAAAACAAAAGAAACTTAAAATTTTTAATAGCCTAATTTTTACAATGCAGTTATATTTACATGGCACTAATCTGGGGGCACGGCAGTGCCCCCGCCAAGTCGAGGAAAAAAGCAGCACGGCCGAACCATACTTTTCTCGAAGCAATTCAGGTCATTTTCGACCCCCTATAACTTCGTAGTGGATAAAACTAGAAGCCTGAATTTTCAATTACCTAGTGGACATTGTATAAACATAGTATATTTCAAATTTCATTCAATTTGAACCAGAAGTTTAAGAATTATAACTAGTCAAAGTTTTTTAATTTTGTCACTCACTGACTGACCGATCATCAAAACTCTAAGGTCAGTCAAGTCAAGTTAGTGCTGCAGAGGGCGCCGTTAACTAAACAAAAGCTTCATACAAATATTTTTATGTTTAAATACTATACAGTGTGTAAATAATAATTTTTGTGTAAACAATAAAATTACATTATAAATAAGCTCAGTGAATGTTATCCAAAACTATAACAAAGTATAAACATAGTTAAAAGTGTAAAATCAAAGTTTGTTGATCAGTGACAGTATAACAGTTGCTTGCTATGGTAATGAAGGACTTTTATGGTTGAGTGAAAGTGTGAATACACAAAAAGGTGCTAAATAACTTAGATAGAAACAAAGTAAACAAAATAAATATAATCCTCATTATTTAAAATTCATAAATAACATTAACTATAAAAAAAACGATAAGTGGGTGTTTGTGATATGACTGCAGTTTGAATTTGACCATTCATAACAGAAAACTCGCGCTCAATGTGATATTAATAAAAAGCAAAACATTAATATCATATTCACTATAAAATGTTGTTAGGTTAGCTAATTACGTAATAACTTAAAACAGAAGGACCCTTAAGTAGGGACTGAATAAATTAACCGACTTGGTATTACATAAATGTAACAAGTTTTTACGGTAGAAGAACTGAGTTGCGAGACTTGGATTTTTTTACAAGTTATGTTTTTGATGGCATATTTATTTACGTACAGTAACGGAATATTGTACTAAGCATAACTTGGTAAAGAATATGGAATAGAAGTGGGACGCATAAAACTTTTTACAGATAATAAATTATAACAAAATCACAATTGCTATGTCCGGACAGTGCGGCAAAATCTAATATGATTCGTGGTCTTACTCATTATTGTTATACCCGAATAAAGTGTTATAATAACAACTTGAAACATAAAGTAAAAGTCGACTTTAAAGAACTAGGAAGAAGATATTTATTTGACATCCATGGGGGTGAAATTAAAAAACATACAGTCTAATTATGAACTCCCTTTTTCGAAGTTAGCTAAAAATAAAATTTTGGAAATTTTGGAATAGAATTTTGTAAAATTTACAATATTTTATGCAATACGTACCAATCTCCTCCATGGTGATTGTAGGGACTTCTAAAGGCAGTGACAGCAGCAGACTTTACTTTAGATATACCAAACATTTGATAAAATTTGGGCAACGCGAACTCATCCAGTGACATCATTAGCAGGCGCCGTGTCTCCTCTATTAGAAAACATAGTATAAGTAAACATAGGTATCTTTATTATCGTGTATTGAAAGTTGAAACTACGGCGTACGGGTTCTTGATTTAACTTAAAAAAAGCTAACATGCAATGGGTATTAGCCGAATCCCGTCCGGTATAGGAATCTGTCCATCCGTGTAGGTATGAGCATCACCTTCTTATCTATTTCTATTGGCAAACAGTATATGGTATACAGTATACTGTTGGGTATATATGGTAAACAGTATACTTGTGTTCCGATCTTAATATTATGGAAAGCCAAATTTAAAGCTATACGGAATGTAACCATTAAACAGTTTTACGATGGTTGCAGAATTGACAGCTCGTGTCATTTTGCGTATTTAAAAAAGTATCAATTTAGATATCAAAAAAATATTATCCTTACCACAGTCTTTTTATCGATTTCTTTACAATGTCTAAGGTTCCATGCCGCGGAAACTGTTGATTTAAAGGATTAATACATTAATCCTCATATCATGAGCAACCAATCTAAGGAGGTCTTTATACAGCAGTGAACTTTTATAGGCTGTAATGGATAACCTATGGTATAATTGTTGAGGTCACTAAAAATTAAATAATGTGTCGTCTCGTTTCATTCAAACAGTGTTCTACACTGTTTGAATTTTCTGAGAGAGAAAGCATGAAGAGTGAGGAAGAGAAAAAGAGAGAGAGGGAGATAGAGAGGAAGGGAGATAGTGAGAGTTTAAAATATTCCCCTTTTGCTTTGCCCCTTATCTCAAACAATTCTCCTGTATTTTTTTAAATTTTAAAATTCGTGACATTTCGGCAATAAGTTAATATACCCATAAAAATTCTAGGTACCTACTACTAGGTTTCATGGTCAGGATTTGGTATTGGTGTAGATATAGTAAACTATTAGTAATTTCTTGCACTAAACAAGTATTTCAAGTATTTCTTATAAAATATGGGTGCCAAACAAGCACACAGGGTACACCTTAGCGTATGTAGATGCTGTGGACTATAGACAAAATGGAGATGCATACCCTGAAGACTTCCTTATTACCAATAAAAGGATCTTCGGTTTCCTATATATTAGGTGAGAGCGTGGTCCTTCCCCAATGGAGCTGACCAATTTCCTGCTGCAACGATAATACAGCTGCAGCGTGGCTCTATCAGATATTAAACGGAGTGTTTATGTTTAACTGCTATGGATTGTCCGTACAAGCATCGGCTGGAAGAAATTCCATCTAAATAATTCACGCTAAGGCTTTCATTTTTAAAGTCTCCATGGGCTGCAATGGCCCCACTGATGAATACCTGTGCCGTAAGTGTACACGCAAAGAAAAAGCCATTCAATCGACTAAGCTTACCCATGTCCGATGTATGCGATAAGATCGGAATTCATCCAGACTTGAAAAAACAATACGTTTTTGTTTTCATTTCACATAAATGCTATCACTACGCGTAACAAGAAGAAAGCCCAACATAATGGGTTGCAAGTTCGATTGTGGCTCTAAATCTAAGTCTAATAGCACAAAAATAAGACATAAAAGTAATGACCGGAGAAGCTGGGCGTGTTGCAAGTGCAGAGCGAGTGTATGATGTTGATGACGAGGCCGTGCGTGGCGGCGCGCATGGGCACGGTGCCCGAGCACACCAGGAACGACACCGTGTGGAACAGGTACGGCAGGTGGCGCGCCACGTCCAGGCAGTTGTTGAACGACAGCATCAGCTGGCCGTACGTGAACGTTCAATGTACTACTTTTGTCTTATACTATGCGCACACAATAACAATTAAACGCAAACTAGAATTTCACTTCGCATTGCGTGGATGATACTGATCTAAAAGTTCAAATTTCTTTTTAATGCGTTTTGTCGTGTTATTATTAATTTCATAAAGCAATTTCAAATTTACGGCGTATCATAATTCCCATGACTTCGCACTATGTAATTTTTATTACTTTATTTATTGAAAATAATAACAACAATTTAATAGAGATGGGCCGAATATTCGTTTCATTTTCGGTGTTCGGCATATTCGGTAGCTTTACCGAATATTTGTATTCGGCCGAATATTCGGCTAAATCACCGAACATTCGTTATAGTGGTACTTAGAATGTCCACTGTATTGTAATGTAAGTATTGAGTAATGCCATGTCTTTCATAATTTTACTGTTTGAAAGTATATTTTGTTTATGGGTTAAATCTACTTTTATAGCGTTATGAGGCACTGTAGATTTATTTCCAAATATAGCAAAAAAAAATAAGCTTGATTAAATGTTATTGGAACCTAACAAAGAAACATTACATTAGTACATTTCACTTTACTTTGTGTTACCTGTTACTTATTTTTATCATATAATTATCAATTTTCATTAAGAATAATACACGAAATACTTTTTTTTCCTCACAAAAATAGTCAAATCACAAACATGTGCCGGTATTCTGCACGGTACAAGATAATGCAAAGTTTGGATATAAATTGGTTAGGTTCCGAGGTGATCCTGGCGAATAATGTTCGGCCGAATATTCGGTTCGGTGAAAGTTTTACAAAACTTTCAACCGAATATTCGTATTCTGTGAAATCCATATTCGGCCCATCTCTACAATTTCACTATTGCACATTAATATTCCCAATTCCTATATTCAAGAAACGTTGCTCTTTATTACGATTCGTTTTATTATATCCCAAGTACTCGTAAAAGCATTTTTTATAAAAAATAACACAAACAAGATAACTAAAAATGATACAACTCTTAGTCAATGGTATGTTAATAAATCAGTATTTTGGTTCATAAATATTTTGGCTCGTAAAGTAAAACGAAACGTTTTTATAATTATAAGAGACCAGGGATTAGGCAAATCCTCCGTATAACGGGCGAAATCCATGTCCAGCAGTACACTTTTACGGATTGACGATGATGAAGAATAAAAACAAATACCACTGTTGCTTGATATCCAAGCATATTTTATATGACATTAGCAAATGATATTCAATTAACTAATAACATGAGAATCTCGTATCGTAACTGTGGTAATGCCTGTAATGACAAGTAAATATATTTTCTATTTAATGAGGATATCATTATGGACAGTGAAGTTGTCACGAACCAAGGAAGTAACACCTCCGGTTTTAGCAAGTAATCAGTCCTTATACAGTAGATAAATCCAATAGTTCAATCAAACTCAACAGAAAATGGATATATAAGTTAATTTAATTATTAAAAATAAAAAGAAGAAAAAGAGTCTGGAAAGGAACCACGATTCATCAACACATTTAGCAGTGGACTTAATTTAACACTTCAACGCAACAATATAAACCCTTTAGTAAAAAAAAAACTGTGCACCTAAGTAAAGAAACAATTACATTGTTTGATAATTTTAGGTGGTCTTATACTAATAATTTTGTTCACGGTTGTAAATTCTTAACGGACTATAAATTATTTGGAGATGATATTAACTCTCGGGAGTTCGCGCCACAAAATGTAGTACAAAGTTGTTTTCTGTAAAAACCAGCCTCACAATTTTTTTTAATTTGGATTGTACTTTTTTAAACGTTAATAACCAGCCAGTAACATTTTCAAATGATTGTAACCTTTTTCGTATTGTATTTTTTGTATTGTATTGTTACAGGAAAAAATATCAGAACCGCCAGTTTTATTTTGCAAATATAAATAAAGTATTATTATGTTAAAACGAAAGAAGACAGGGTACGAAAAAAAGCCGAACGGAATACAAAATAATACCTACCAAATATCTAGCCAATATGGCAATGTCATCCCACATCATATGTTGCTCGAGCATTGCAGTTGGAGAATGGCATGTCTTATCCACTACCTAAAAATAAAATGTAAGTAAACATGGCCGTCAAATTCACAACTATAAATACTGCAATCTCTTTTAAAAAAATTTCGTTTATAAGGTATTCACTAAGAAAATTATATCATTAAAACCCATCCAATCATCTTTTTAAAAAAATATACATATTATCTTTATAACAAAATTATAAAACCAAAAATCATTAATTTATACAACATTAATCTAGAATAGTAAATGACTTTTTTTGATACTTAAACTAAGATGATTGAACGGATCAAGTAAACACCAAAATAGGAATTTGGAATTTTGGAACGGTGTTGGCCAATCAATACATAGTAATAATACAAAACTGATTACTAGATGTAAAAATAAATTCTAATTGAAAAAAAAAAACATTTAAATAATAAGCTAAAATAGTGCTATAAATTAAAGAAATGGTAGGCAAAAAAATTATATAAAAAGAAAAAACTCACAGTGGCCGGGGTAACAGGACCCAGAATATTATTGGGCAGTTTGGATAGGGCCTGTGGGAGATACATAGATTAACACAGATTTTTTTTCACTTATCGATATCGACAACAATATAACTTGTTCTTCACATACTGTGATAGTATTTTCAAATAAAAGCTCGGTAAAATAAAAAAATAACATTACAAAAAACTACATAAGTCGACATCGATTAGCTGAATTACTTATTGCAAATTCCATCCAAGTTTGTAATGAAATATTTAAATGAAATTAATAGCAGAGATTATTTTGACACGATTTAATTGAATTGCCAAAATATATGTGTATAGATATTGTATATATGGACATAACAGGTGCATATAAGTTACTTTTTGAAACTGCAATAAAATTAACAAAAATACTTTTTTACCCAAAAATTGTGTCAAAATAACTTACGTTTAAAAAAGAAACTTATCACTCCGTAAACATAAATAAATAACTAAAAGAAAGACAAAGAGATGGATTGGTAATACACACCAATACCACAGCAAATATATAGCTAGAGCAGTACTTCAACCCGCTTCCTTTTTTAAGTTAATTATCTACGCTACATTGGAGCTTCTGGGTTATCAGCCTTCATTTACTTTGATTTGAGTTCAAAAATTGTTAGCAAGCGAAAGCAATCGCTCTAGTAAGTAAATAGTTCAAAATAGCGGTCACTTATTAAACTAATATACAATATGGTAATATATTTTAACAAACGGGCAAAAATTAAGAACTGTATTATAAAAAATATAATAATATAACTAAAAAGCGACCTACATCCGTGATTGACGGCGAATCTCTGTTGGTCTATATATGTGTGCGTTTGTAAATTCGGACGTTTGTATGAAGTTGAGTTACAGCTTTAGCTATTATATATGTTTTCTGTGATAATACTCATTAAATCATGAAAGATATATGCAAATGTAATACAACAGATTAATATAGTACAATAACTTAATATTTCGGTTGTTATTTATTATAACTTCAGTTAGCGAAAAGTTAACTTAATTATTATAAAGACTAGCTTTTTACCCGCGGCTTTGTTCGCGTGGGCGAGAATTTAGAAACATCAATAATACTATTTCATACTAAAATTAGCAAAAATTGATCACTTGTAGAGCCACCTCGGTATCTGGGTCTATATTGGACGTAGGAAATGATTGAAATTTGGCAATATAATATGCTACAGAAACACAATAGTGACTTTGTCAGAATTGCATTAATATCATACGTCTAACAATACCTTTTTTTATCGGTTATGTCTTTCGCTGTCTTTATGAAGGGAAAATTGCCCTACAAACAGAAATGACGTTTTTTAAATATTATTCATAATTTAAGTTGATATGGTTTTGACAAAATAATGTTGAATTTCATGGTATTTATTAATATTGGATCCTTTGAATAATGATTGACACTATAAAATACACACCAGTATTTTATTACGTTCTAGTAGACTTCAAAATTTCACATATAGTTCTGTTCGCGGTGAACGTTTGAGAAGAATTATATTCGTGAACGGGAGTACAAACATACAGAAGATGGGCAGCAGCGTAATCCTGATCATAGCTCAAAATAAAAAAAAATATGCAGTTGGCAACTCGCATGCGAATCGCGGCAACTACGGCAAATATCCTACTTATTTGGCAATCTATGGGACGAGTCCAATTAATGAACGGGAGTAGAAATATATTAGCCATGTACCGGCGGTGAAAAAGGAACCACTATCCCATTTCGTCCCGTGGGTGTCGTAAGAGGCGTCAGAGGGAAATTGAAACAGGAAATGGGTGGCAGCATCTTCCTGATAACAGTGCAAAGTAATAAAAAGCTGCAGTTGACCCGCTTGGCAAGCATGAATAATACTACAAATATCCGGTCTTTTTGAAAAAAAAAAGGGGAAGCCTATTACGTCGGTTAATAAGTCCCGAGCCTGATGTGGTATAGGTGGCACTGTTAGGGAAAAATTATTTTTTTAAAAGAACACACCTCTATAATTTGTGCAAAATTTTCATAACCTCTAAATTATTTGTTTAAAAGTTACGATGATTTTTTTTGGTGCCAATGGACCATAAAGAATTTCGAGTGCATCAGAGATAATTTTAAAATACAACAACTTTTATCGGATGAAAGTACATACAAAAAGGTCAAAACAGACCCCACAACTAACACGCTTAAAACAACTAGCGATTTAATAAAGAAATACTCCGAAAAATTAAATCTCAACGTGAATTCGCTAATACCATCATGTACCAAACCACCGAGATTGTAAGGGTTACCGAAGATACACAAACCAAACGCTCCACTACGCCCCATAGTGTGACAGATCGATTTACCGACTTATAAACTGGCACAACACTTGGCAAAAATACTATCACCACTGAGAGGACATACCAGCACACACAAAGGATTCATACCATCTTGTTAGTGAGATAAAAGGCCTGCATCTCGGTGACAATGAAACTATGGTCAGTTCTGATGTTCAGATACTATTCACGTGCACATAAAGATGATTATTATTTTTAAATTGAGTTTTATTTTTTATGAATAATAAAAGAAAATATTTAGAATAAATATGTTGTTTACTTAATTATAAGAAACTATGATTTTATTACTAGAATTCAATTTTTATTTTTATTTATATGGAAGTTTCATTTTGACAGCTCTGCAGAATATTTCAATTGACATGAATTTCTCTACCACTCTATTAATTGCAGTATCTTTATAAAAATGAGGAATTTTCTACTACAGCAACAAAAACCTAAGCAATACAATAAAATTAATATTGCAGCAGTTAATAAACACGTAGCAGCCACAGATAAATGTGTTTGGCTAAATAAACGTACCCGACACATGCGACCGATGACTTTCTTGGACACCAGCTGCACATTAGCGGAAGCGAGCGCGACCGCCGTGTCCGCCATTATTTCAATCATTGGTGATCCTAGGCCTATAAATTAATAATGTAAAATGAACCCTTAGTTATCACCAAGGCTTTTCTGATTTTAAATTTCAAACAAGAAGTTAAAATAGCTTAAGGGGAAATAGTAACTCAGCTAAAATTCTAATTTCGCCCTCACTTCCCCGTGCGTCGTATGCTATGTACCGACATGTTTGTAATCACTAATACTGTAAGTAGAAAGGTCGTTAGACACTTATTTCATTAGGTTTATCATATTTATGCCTGTTTCTTTACGCCGACCCAGTCTCTTCTTATTTTTATCGCAGTCCTGTTGCGTAATGTGTGTCGTGATCGAAAATGACACATCTTCCCCCTTTAAAGACCGAAATGACACTGACCGGGCGGCAGGAAACAAGCTTCAAGACGCCGATAGTTTAGGTTATTTCTTTTTACAGTGAAAATAATGGTAATTAAAAAAAAAATAAAAAAACATAAGCCCTGCTTTATAGTTACTTCAGTAAGTATGCAAAGTTTCATGATTTAATTTAAAGTATTTTTATGAATAGCAGCGGTTTATTATTCAGTTTGGAGGTAACTTTGTATTTTTTTTCTATCGAGAAAATTTTACGGAATCGTGTTTTCGTCTAACATACTTAACATTTATCCTCAAGTCTACCATATATTTATTTAAAAATTAATGCTGCAATATTTTCGGCATAACGGAGGATCTTGCTAAGCCATTTGAGGTAGTATTTTTAATATTTCCCCTTAATGTAGGTACATATATATCTTGTACAGCCATAAGTTTTGTTACACTTTAAAATATTATTATACAATGACAACTCACCAGAGTTGACGCTCCTTTGAATAAAGCTATCGAGCACCATATCGATAAGCTCAGGCACTTGTCCAATGGAGCCCCATATTTTGGCTTGCACCGAAGGGTACATTTCTGTCTCCTCGATCGTTAACGTTATGAGCTTCTCCAATATATGAGCTACTTGTTTTTGACGTCGAGATTCATCAGATGGCTTGCAGAATCTGCAGATTGAATAAATAATAAGATTTTCTCATTTCACGCCAGTAGTAGAGTTATATACAGAAGCAGCCGTTTAGGGCTCTCTACTATTATAATATATAAATTGTATGTGTAAGCAACTAAGGTGAAATACCTATATGTATATTTGTTGAACTAATAATTTTGAAACATTTATCAGTTTAAATTATAATAATGAAAGCTTTTTGTTAAAAGTGAGCAACACAAGATTAATTACAATGCCACTTAATATGGATTACGTCTGGGCGTCTACATTGCGAAATGAGTCATCATACTAAATTTCAAGTTAATCGGGTGTAAAGTTTTAGAGATCTCGTGATAAGTCCAGTGGTATTTCACTTATATATATACAGTTATAGGGTTCCATTTAGCAGTACTAACATGATAGAACATGAATAAAGCTAATTAAACTTTGTAAAAAATTTTTTTTTCATCGGGATCGATTTTCTTTTTGTCCAATCATCAAAGGTATCCTTAGTACTTTATCGTCTGTCTTAGTTTTCTGGAGCGTTTTACAAACACCCGTTATAGAATATATGGTAAGGTTGGGTCGAGTTACATGTGATCGTTAATAATCTTTATCTAATGCAGATAACATAACTTGTAAACATATCAGTGCCGTCTTGACTCCTAAGCTAGATCCTTCTGTCAGAAGGCAGTCCCTTCACACACTTATACTCTAATGACTAAACTTATTGTGTGTTTAGAAAGCTCTCCACAAGTACATTCGTTTCCTAACTGTTTTCTTTAAACTGTGGTAGTATTAAGCTGTAATACTGCAGAAAAATTAAATTCAACTCAATTTTTTTATCTCTTCACAACTTACTGGCTAGTAAACAGTAACAATGCAGTAAGGACCTAACATTGTGAGAGACTGCAGCCTATTATAGGTTTTCTATAAAAAACCTGAGTTACAGCCACCACCATGTTACGGTATGAAATGGTAATAGTGTTACTGTTATCACATAGGTCCAGCTTTTATATAAAAATATGCTTAATAAGTTTAAACTTTTATATTGCATACTCACCTTACTAAATTAGCTAACCAAGGTGTCATATACTCCAAACATAAATGCTTCAGTTCTATAGTAGATCCGCTAAAGCCCTGAAAGAGTAAAATACGTTATAAAAAAGCCAGCGAAATCAGATAAAAAATGTAGCCAATCTATTAACAGTACTACACAAGGTTGTAGGGTTTATTTTCTGTGTAGAATTCCATCCAGTTTGGTTCCACATTTTAACATATATCTGCCACCAAGCAGCAATGTTACAGTTTGAAGTTAAAATTACTTTGAATTATAATTGCAGGTGGTGACAACAAATCTTAGAGTTTTTTTTTATTTAAAACCGATTGCAGATGTCCATGAGCCGCAGTAGATTCATATCATCAAATGATAGCTCATTTAGCTCCAAAATTAAGAAATAATAGAATTTTTTATTTAAATTATTGACGATAATAATTTAGATATACTTTATTATACGTCTATATAGATTTGCAACAACTAAACGTAAGGCAAATATGTTATGGTGAGATTATTGAAAAGGCGTAGTGTAAATAAAGAAGCCTTCCTTGACAAGACTGTTAGTGATTTATTGTATGGACTACAAACAGTCTTTTTAAATTAACCGCTGGATATCAGCATTTCAAAACCACGCCAGCTTTAATTTAATGAAAATTAAAGCTGGCAACTTTAATTAAAATTAATATAATAATAAATTGAATTCACCTGTATACATTCTTCCAAAAATTCAAGAGTGAGGTGTGGTTCATTGTGTGCTAATTTCTCGCTCACAGATTTAATGAATATTGTGTTATTTGATGGAATACACAGACCTGTAATAAAAAATATAATGTATGTTAATTTTTAAAAATTATTGGGGGCAAACGAGCATGCGGCTCGCCTGATGTTAGGTGACTACCGCCGCCCAAGATCAAACGCAACACCAGGGGACTTGCAGGTGCGTTGCCGGCCCTTTAGAAAGGAGTAAGCTCTTTTCTTGAAGGTCCCCAGGTTGTATCGGTCCGGAAAAATCGCCAGTGGTAAACTATTCTACAGAGAGGTTGTACGCGGAAGAAAAATCTTTGTGAAACGTACAGAGGTGGACCGCCAAGCATCTAGATGGTGTAGATGTTATCGAGACGTTTGCCGCGTAGTGCGTTCACGAAATTTGGCGGCTGGGATTAATCACACAAAAATGAGGAATTGTTCGGATTAATCCGAAGATCCTCAGAGCACTCCCCATGGTATATGCGAAAGAAAATGCAAAGAGATGCAACATCTCTTCGCAGTGCCAGTGAATCGATCCGGTCGGAAAGCACTCGGTCGTCGACGATTCGAGCCACTCTGAATTGGATGCGGTCAAGTGGAAGGAGCTGGTACTGGGGAGCTCCAGCCCAGAAATGGGATTAGTATTCCATATGCGGCCGAACCTGCGCCTTGTAAAGTTGCAGGCGGTGTGCCGGCATGAAATACTGTCCCGCTCTGCTGAGCACGCCAAGCTTTTTAGAGGCCAATTTGGCCTTCTCTTCCAAGTGACCACGAAACTGCACGTCACTCGATATGTCGACGCCGAGGATTTCGATACTGGCTGAGACAATAAGGAGAGTGCCTTGAAACTGAGGAGATACGACAAAGGGGTTCTTTTTAGCGGTTAACGCGCAAACTTGTGTCTTCTGAGGGTTAAACTGGACTAGATTTAGTCGCCCCCAATCCGAGATTCTGTTCAGCAAAGACTCGACTTCAGACACAGGTTTGTCCCGGTACTCGGAGACGTTTTCCCGAGAAATATTGGCACGGCCGGTGTACAGAGCATCACCAGTGCTGTCATCTGCATAGCAATGAATGTTACGAGTTTGCAACATATTATTGATATGCAGAAGAAACAGCGTTGGTGATAGCACGCAGCCTTGTGGAACACCAGCATTAATAGGCTTGTAATCGGAGCTGGCACCGTCTACAACGACCTTGATGCTCCGATCTGCAAGAAAGCTGATAATCCAATTGCACAATTTCTCGGGAAGCCCATAGGAACGCAGCTTCGAAAGAAGCGCTTTGTGTCAAACCCGATCGAAGGCCTTCGCAATGTCCAAACTAACGGACAATGCCTCCCCCTTGGACTCTACTGCCTCCGCCCATCTATGAGTTAGGTAGACCAGAAGATCACCAGCTGATCGACCACGGCGAAAACCGTATTGGCGATCACTAATCAGCTGGTGATCCTCAAGGTACCTCATGAGCTGGCAGTTAACAATAGACTCCATTGTTTTGGAGAACAAGGAGGTGATGGCGATAGGTAGTTGGACGGGTCTGAACGGTCGCCTTTTTTAGGGATCGGGTGGACGAAAGCCGTCTTCAATAATTTTGGGACTACGCCAATGGGAGTATGAGTACCGGAAAAGACGCGTAAAACCGGTGCCAACTCTAGAGCGTACGTCCTCGGCACAATTGGGGGGATTCCGTCAGGCCCACTCAACTTGTGGATGTCCAGGGAGAGGAGTGCTTTGCGAACCGAGCTCTGTGTGAACTGCACTTCCAGCATGGAGCACTCACACCTCGGGATGATCAGAGGCGTACTCCCCCCGTCACCGAGAGTCGAGTTGGACGCAAAGAAAGAGCCTAGAAGATCGACTTTTTCCTTTGCGGTATCGGCCAGTGAGTCGTCCTTCCTGTGCAGAGATGGAAGAGATGGCTGACAGAAATTCCTCTGGACAGCCTTGACAAGAGACCAGAATGCACGGGTTCCAGAAGGAAGGCGAACTAGTTTCTCGCCAATTCTGCCCATGTGCTCTGACTTTGCCTTCGCAATGACTCTTTTGAAGGATCTGCAGGCGAAATTATACTTCTTTTTTAGAGCGCTGGTGTTTACATTCCGAGACGTTGACGCGTTAGCCCAGACTTGGTAGCACTCCTGCATAGCATGATGCTATTTTACAGGAGCTACCAAACAATGGCTGAGATTTGCCTCCGATGGGCACCACAGAGGAAGGAATAAAAAGTTCCATACCCTTAAATACAACATCAGCGACAGAATCCGCAACAACGTTGGGATCGTCCGGCGATAAGCAAACCCGCCCCCAAGGGTAAGATGCAAAGAAAGACCGCATCCTATCCCAATCGGCTGACCTATAGTGCCAAACAGGGCAACAGCCTGCAGAACGCAACTGCGATTTCAACGTGAGTGGCACCACTCCAGACAAGACAATGGTCCGAGGAGCCTAAAGGGGCGTCAACGGAAATCTGATATTCGTCCGAGTGAGAGGTCAGCAGAAGTCCAACAGGGAAGGTGCATGATCTTCCACATCCGGAATCCGCGTAGGCGAAGTAACCAGTTGTGTCCCCGCATGGTCGGTTAAACGTGAACCAAGCCATTTAGCGTGATGGGTGTTAAAGTGGCCGAGGATCACGATCTCTGCAGAGGGGATCTGCTGTAGCAACGAATCTGTAGCCATTTGGACGTGGTCGAAGAGTCGGTCTGTTTCGGCATTACCGCTATGGGACCTAAAGAGGCACCGGTAGATGCGCGGATGGTCGTCGCTGTCTACGCGTAGCTAAAGGATGGACAGGTCCGAACCTTCAAGTCTGCCGAGGCGTCGAGAACAGATGTCCTCTCTGACGTAAACGCAAACTCCAGTCCGAGGCACAAAGGAGTGTTCCAGTTTGTACCCGGGTAGGAGAGATACGAGACATCAGCCGGAGAGGACACCTGCGTCTCGGTTAGAAAGAGCAGAGCCGGCCTCGACGTCACGAGATGGTAGCGCAATTCTACTTACGAATGTCAAATGCCTATTTTTTCCCTAATATAAATGAGGAATTTCTCTTAAATGACAAAATATTTCACTAGCCAGAGGACTAACAAATAGAGATTAAAGAGTAATTTTCACACACAATTTTGTGGTTGCTTTGCGTAGCAAGCATAATGGCCAGTCAAACACCAAAGCTTAAGACGCCTATGACACAGGATAGGACTTCTAGTTGTTCTTGTACGTTTAATATGCAGAACAGTTGGTACTAGAAGGCTTTAGCAGGTGGCCTTCTGTACTGCCCTCGGGATGTCGTCGCTGCATGGTAAGTGAGTAGAGCAGTTAGTACCGGAGGTCTCGAGCAGCTGGCCCTCGATCTTGAGGTGGAAGGTGGCGGTGAGCGCGCACAACTGGTTGTAGGCGGCGGTGCGCAGGTTAGGGTCGCACGAGCCCAGGTTCAGTAGCGCCATGTTCAGCAACGTGCCCGGAACGTCTTTAGGTCGTATCTTTTGGTGTACGGTTACCGAGTCTTGCTGTAATAAAAAAAATTGTTGCTTATTCCGACTGTTAACGACGTTCTATAATATTAACTTGAGCAGCATTTTATTATATAGACAAAATAATCAACGGACAGCCGGCTAATGTTGATCAATAAATTTCAAAACATTTTTTCCATAATAGATATTAAAATTTTAGAAAAGTAATATAAATACTAAATGAGCAACTAAAATGCCCACTACACAGACCATCTCTATGCCGCAAACATTTATATAATATGAAAAAAGGTAACATTATCCTCTAACATTTTTTTTATTTATTTATGTGTGTGTACATGTATGTATCAAGATACCGAAGCAGTCTTATAGTAAGTTCGTACAAACTAGGGTTTGAGAATTCCCGTCAATTTTTAAGGCCTGGGACACGAGACAGTCTACTATCAAAGTCCCGGGAATTTCCGGGACTTCGAATTTTAAGAAAAAAGATTTTCAAGAGAAGTGAGCCTTTTTTGAAGAATTTTAATTGAGTAAATTTCTGGTGAAACGTATTGTTACGAGCTTGAGGTTCGTGACAAAATTGCCGATAGAATTACCTAAATTAACACTTTAATTTTCTTTACACCAATTAAAACTTAAAACACTAAAAATTAATCACACTGATTCACTTTATTTCGCTCCGAAGCTTCGCTTGTCTCGCCAAATTCAATACTTCCCCGATCGCATCTTGCAGCGCCTATAAATACAAATTAGCACCGAAACATCCAGAATATTCAAGTAAACGCGCACAAAGGGCCGAGAGTTCGAGCGTCAGCTTCTAGAAGCTTAGTTCTTCGTTCCGAGACTAGATGGCGCTGTCGGTTGCTGAAAGATTAGTGATGTCACTTTCTGGAAAGCTCCTCTCACTCTCGTCCCTGACACTAGATGCCGGATACATGACGTCGACTTATTCGCGCAACAGTATTATAAAAGGCAATTTTTGTAAAAAAAAATTATATTAATTACTTAAACGTTATTTTAGTCTTAATAATTGCATTGTTCGTTTCTTTTAATCAGAAACAGATTCACTTTTAAGCAGTTTAATCTTACAGTTATTAAACGAACCTAGTTAAAAATAGACTTTTAAAAAATCTCAGAGCGTCAACCGCTTTTTTCGACAATTTGTTTCTGATTTATGTAATAATGCCACCGGACAAGGAGAACACACACCCTTGTTTTCAACAGACGTCGGTTTGACTGTGTTTAAGGGTTTATACAGTAGTTCCGAACTTTCTTTACGTTTTCCGGTTGCTTCAAATAACTGAAACTCCTTTTGTAATTTAACTAACAGATGGCGCTGGACTCCTTCAATTATTACAAAATAAACATGATAACATAACAATTTCGACAATCTTGTCTCGTCTCGAGTCTCGACCTGAAAGTACCGGGACTCGAGACAACTAAAATTACGAAAAGTCCCGGGACTTCGAGACACGAGACGTCTCGGGACTCAAACCCTAGTACAAACGTTCTGTTTATTCCATAATTTGCTGAAATATCTTCCAGTAGACCCATAAAGGAAATTATATTGAAATGGCAAACTTATTGCATAAATTACTACTAACAATGAATAAATAATGTTACGTAAATTATATAAAATAAAACTATAAATAAAAATAATAAATACTATTACGAGCTTAGGGTTTGTGACAATAAAAACTGGCGATTGAATTACCAAAATTGACACTTTAATTACTAAACACCAATTAAAACTTAAATCACACTAATAATTATTCACACTTAACACTTTAGTTACTTTATTTCACTCCGAAAGCTTCGCTTGTATCGTCAATTCAATACTGGCCCGGTCGCGGCGCTAAACGGCTTTAAATAGGCCTTTTCCACCGAAACATCCAGAATATTCCAGCCAATACCGGCCCTTGACCGACCAGGTGCAGTAAGTTCGAGTGTGGAGCTTTCTAGAAAGCTTAGTTCTTCCATTAGATACTAGATGGCGCTGTTGGTGGAATGTTCAGGAATGGCATTTTCTAGAAAACCCTCCTCGGTCTGTTCCCCGACACTAGATGGCGCTAGTGCGCCAGGTACCAGACATTAACTTAGGCGCGCAATAATACGATAGTTAAATATGATATATATAAACTAATACTAATATAATAGAATAATATATATTAATTAACTATTAATGAGTCCGAGAAAACATTGCGTGATTTAAAAAAAAAATTATAAAAATATTTGTATCACAGCGTAAATAACACTCTCTTCTCTGTATAAATAACGGAATTACTTCACATAAAACTTTATACCCATTTTTAAGTATATAGCACGCACGGAGGAATGTGAGACTTAGCATTTAATTTATATAGAGGAGTGGAGAAAGCTAAAACTTACATATAGTAGGTATGTCTTATAAATATATGAAATAAAATAAAGCATTCAATGTTTAGGTGCATAGTGAAAAACAGTCATACAGAGCAGTATAAATAACGAAATTTTAGCACAGAGTAGAGATTGTCCCAAAAAAAATTATATGTATGAGTTCAAATGTTCCTCTTTTAATAATCTGTGGAGTGGTATGTCCAGGAAAAGGCCATTATTTTATATTTCGTGTATTCGATATCTGTGTTTCATATATTAATTAATATGCAGTAGAAAGTGATATACAGCTTTCTTAATATTAAAAATTTAAAACATGACCGACCCTTGAGCGACCATCAGTTATAAATACTTGACCTTTTTGAAAAAAATAATTTAAATAAGACATTTTAAAATGCAGACGTTTTTTTTAGCTAAAACAGACACTATCTTAATATTTAATAGTTACAGGAATTATTGTAAATATTTACTTACTGGCTGACTGAGTTCCCAGCGGCTGCGTATATGAATGATCGATTGTAGGATGTTGTCACAGTCGTTATGTATAAAGCTGAGCGGCGTCGGATCATTGATTATTGTTAATGAAAATTGATTGTCGTCCACCAAGCATACCTGTGTGATAAGAAATGTCGGTCAATATGAAAGTAATATCAAAACAGCGAAATTTTACACATTTAAAACATTAATAACAGTTAAAAAATTAACACATTTTTTATAAAATTAAAATATTATTAGCACAGCAATAAAATAAATATTTACACAATGAATAAAAATTAACTGCAATGGCTACATATTTTATCATTTCAGCTGATGTATAAACATAATATAAAGCCTTATTATATATTACCTCATCGATCTCAGAGGCGTAGTAAACATCATTAAGCAGAACTTGTGTCCCCAACACCTTGGTCTTTTCAACTGACGTTATTTGAAGTGCAGTAGGTCCAACCTTATTAATGAAAATATTTGAAAAACCATTGCTCTTAATTAAAAAATGTTTTTTGAATAAATAAGCTATCATGTTTAAAAAAATTACACTATCGAAAAATAATAAAAATAATTTTTCTTCTATTAGCCTGTGTTTACGCCCGATAGTGGCGGGCTGCAGCTTGCGGGGGGCTGGTCCCGGGCGAGGAGCCGGGTTGCGCAGGGGGAGTATTCATTTGCGCCGGCGACAGCGCCGGGCAGTCGGCAGGAAGCTTTTAGGCGCCGAGGCCGCGCCAGTTAGACGTCGGGCGTTACATAATAATTACTGCGTCGCGTATCGACGGCCTCCATGTTGTTGTATTTTGTCGTTAATATACGTGACAACGAGGCTTCTTTGATTTTTGAATTATTGAATTAACTTAGATTGCTATTAATTTACATCGACGAGTGGATCATGTAGTTAATATTCGGGACGCTGAATTTTGTGATTCGAGTGTAGATCGCGCGCGATTATAGTTCGTGCTAAGTGATGCTGGACTTGGGTTCCGATAGCGGTGACCGTCTTGTGGAGAGGTCAGCGCACGTTGTGCTGCTATCTGATTGTATCGGTGACGTAAGGTTACAATATACACTTTTCTACGCTACACACCCACTACCATTTACTTGCCCCTGACGCCACCTTGTAGAAGACCCTACTTCTGGAATTCGGTAAGTTTTGTGTTTGCGCATCTAGCCGTTATAATTTAATTATCCATAGGCCATTTTGGGCCCGACCCTCTAGTTACTCGTCGAGTTGGACTACTGTGGGCCCTAGTCCGGTCGACTTTTGTTGGGGAAACTAGGGGCCGTAATATTCTGGTAGCAGAGCGTGGTTGATTGTTTCGACAATCACGCCCGGCCGTAATATAATATTTTTTTTGTTGTTGTTTTGTTAGCTGATCGGTGTATAGAGCCACGCCCGGTAGGTCGCGTAAGCACGAGTGTAGTTTAGGTTAGGTTACCTACGCGTCAGGTATTTGATTATTTTGATTATAATTTGCATTTGTATTGTAGAATAAATTGCCGAAGGGTCGGTCGCTTTAGCGTGGCATCTTTGTTGACCGACTGTAGTGTAATTGTGTTTAATTCAATTAATAGTAATTGTATTAATTAAATTAATTGTGTAGTGTAATTGTGTTTAATTTAATTTTGTAGTATTTGTATTTAATAGTGATGCCATCGCACAAGCCACCGGCGCCTCGCTTGCAGGCGGAACTGCGCTGGGCCGCGAACGCCCACACCTTGATAGGGTGATCCGATCGGGTCCATAGTTTAGAGAAGCGGCTCGAGCAGGTCATGGCCTGAAGGGCCGTAGTGGAGGAGGCTTGCACTAAGCTTTTGGCCTCGGATGCGGAACAGGGAGTCCGAGAATCCTGCCTCGCGGACTACGAACAATTTTTTCGCTCACGGACGACTTGATCGGGGCGGGTTCCAAGTATGCTCATGACGCGCGTGAAGCTCGGCTGGGTGGCCTGCTCGAGTCCCCTCGGAAGCAGCCTACTCAGCCGGAGCTGTTGGGACAACTCCCAACTCTGGACCTGCCAAGGTTCTCCGGGGTCCTCTCCGACTCCTTTGTTGGACTATTTGATAGCCTAGTGGACGCTCGGAGGGACTTGACACCAAGCCAGAAGATGGCTTACCTCCTGGCCTCACTGGAGGGGGAGGCTCTGGGCGTCGTCGGCCATCTGAAATTGTCGGACGACGCATTCCAGACAGCTTTTTGTTGCTCCACATTGTGCTGTCCCGCCTGCCTCACGATATGCGGATCCATTTTGAGGAGAGGTACGGCGGGGACGGCGCCTCCTATATTCCGCCCTTCAGGGATCTGCTGTGGTTCTTAGAGTAGCAGTGCAGGCAGATGGAAAACGCAGCGGGCACCGTCGACGACCTACAGACCGCCAACCGAGCCGTGCCCAGGGAGAGGCGGAATCCCCCAAGGCAAGTCGTCGTCAACCCCCCTCAGACCGAGCGGAGCTCCTTCGGGAGGGCGCCGCCCCCCTACCTTCCTATAGTGGCCTAGTGGCCAGGGAGGCTCCCCTCCGCTCCTATTGACGAGCATCCGATCACCGGGTGACGTTGTGCCCGAAAATGTTGAGTTAGCCGGTCCCAGCGAGACGAACCATCGCCTAGGAGCGCCGCTGGTGCTACTCGTGTTTGGAAAGGCATCTCCAACGAAACTGCCCGCACCAACGGCCCTGTCCGCACTTCCAGGGCAATCACCATGCCGTTTTGTGCCTGAGTGCGAACGGCGCTTCTTCTCGGGGCTCTGCCGGGCCCTCAACCCCCGCGGGCGAGGGGCGATCAGCCACGCCCTCTGTCGGGCGACGCTCGGCGCTCCCCTGCCAACCACCGTGCCCCTGGTTTTGGAGGGGTTCCCTCCCCTGACCGGTCGGGGGGTCGTTCCCCCAGGGGCGGGGGGTCGTCACCTCCCTCAGCGTGTGTAGAGGAACTTCACAGCCACTCAGCGGTCAGCGAGACCCTTCTCACCCCCGTTGGCTGAGAGGCCGCGACTGGAGTACCACCCTCCCCCCTTTGGTCGGTACCGGTACTACGGGTTCCTGCAACCTCGAATTTGTGCCGGACCTCAAGGCCGAGGTTCCCCGATGCTCCCCAGGTCGGCCCGTTCAGTGAATTCCAGCCACAGGTCATTGAGAGGCCGGCGGAATGCCGCCTTCGGGACCCCCGGTTCGAGCGCCGGTCCGGCCTCCATCGGGAGGCCGCTACAGCTAGGTAGCGGCCGCCCTAGCTCCCACCATGGCCGCCCCCACTGACCCACTGAGCCGTCAACAGTCCACTTCAGTGAAGGCGTACAACCCGAGTGGCGACTGCTTAACGATTCGCGCTCTATTGGATTCGGGTTCACAAGCTGTCTAGCCTCCACTTGGTTGGTTGGAAGACTAGGGCTCTAAATAGCTGACGTTTTGTTTAAAGATAAAATATTTGAGTAACTTGTTGTATTCAACGTTATATGTTGAAAGATTGTTAGTTGAGCTTACTATCAGAGTTTGTGACATTTTACATTTTTACGATTTAGCTCTTAAAACGTGTCCCTTTTGTTTTTTATTTTTGTTCTTTTTTTTCTTGTGTCTTTAATTTTGTGCTTCGGTTGCTGGTAACTCACCATCATGTTTAGAATGCCCACGCTGGGTGTCATGCTCGTTCGACTATTTTGCAGCGGGAGTTTTGGATTTTGGCTGGCCGACGCACCATTCGGAGCGTCATTTTTAAGTGCTACCTTGTTATAAATTGAAGGCCACCATATCGCAGCCGATGATGGGTGACTTACCACCCGACCGCGTCAGGGCCATCCGATCATTCGCTGGAGTCGGAACCGACTTTGCTGGCCCCTTCCTCGTCAAGTCCTCCAACCTACGTAACGCGCGTTCACATAAGTCCTATCTGTGCGTTTTCGTGTGCCTCGCCACCTCGACGTATTCGACTTTCGTGTGCTCGACCCTACTTCTGGAATTCGGTAAGTTTTGTGTTTGCGTATCTAGCAGTTATTATAATTATCCATAGGCCATTTTGGGCCCGACCCTCTAGTTACTCGTCGAGTTGGACTACTGTGGGTCCTAGTCCGGTCGACTTTTGTTGGGGTAACTGGGGGCCGTAACAGCCTGTATGAATTATATCCATCGCTGAAGAGACTGGCGATATTAAAAGAGTTTCCCATACTCACTATGTTAGATTGTAGTATTGGTGATTCAAAGCCGATATCCTCACTGTGGTAAAGATACTTCCTATCACAAATCTATATAATCTTGGAGTTCGGTATTTCCAAGCGAAATTATCGTCATGAATTTGTAAGTCACCAGAGCTAAGTACACCAATTACAGAGGATAACACTTTCATGGTTCGATTTTCAGACACAATAACAAGAAATAGCAATGAACTAAAATATGTAGCACACGGGACAGGGAATGGGTTAAATTTGAAAAATACTAGTACCATCCCCATTAGAATAAGTTGCAAATACCCCTATGTTATCCATAAAATATCAATCATAATTTTATCAATATACGATTTACTATCATTATTTTAAATCTAAAACATGCAACAATATTTTGTTGCATGTTTTTTTTTTATTTAAATTTAAAATGATTTATCCATTATTTTAAACAGTAGTAGTAACAACAGTAGTAGTAGTAGTTCTTCGTATTTTTTTTTGTATAAAATTGAAGAAAAATCTCTTTGTTTGTGTCTTGTCTGGTTTTAATATCAACACATATAGGTTATTAAGAAAAAGAAACAGTAATAAGCACTTTCCCGCCATTTTCAATTGTTTCTCTGTCCGCCAAAATGAGTACATCTAACGAAAAAATTCGATACATTCTGAAGATTTATACCAAAAAAATGGAAAAATGCGACTCTGTAAGCAAAAAGTTGGTCACGCGATAACGCCAGAAAAAGAAAGAAAAATTAAGAGTCTGGTTGGGAAGTGTTAATGCATCCACCATATAGTCCTGACCTTGCTTCCTGAGATTTTTAACTACTGGTCTCTTAAGAAGTCTTTGGGTAGTATTAGGTTAACATCAAGAGATGGCTGTTAAAAAATGAAACAGTGAAAAAAGTCGAATTTGTATTTAAACTTCTTCCCCGACTTATTATAATATCATAATATGTTGAATCTGTTTGTTATTTCTATTAAATAAATTAAAAATATTAAAGTTATAGTATACCTTAATAGCCACTTTGGTGTCCTTATGCGACAGTTTGAGAGCATTGTTGAAAACTTTAAGATCCTCTTCTAGTGCTAGTGTAGTGCCCGGCAACTTTATTTGCTCGGGGTCCACGAAATCGCTCAGCCTCGTATGGCTGTCTATAAATATTAGTTTGCGATTGCCCTGTTGTTAAAAATATCAAAAATGTAAACGTCTAAAATCTACAGTATCCAAAATCGTTAATATTCAATAGACATTTATCATAGTTATTAAATATTATTTGATGTTTTGATATTAAAGTCCGAACACCGCATCAGTTAAACAGACAATTAGATATTTTGGCGTTTATTTGACTTAGTTTTAATTCCTAATGTTTCGGGCAGTTTACTGCACCCATGGTTACGAGGGTACCGAAATGATTGACATCCTGAAGTCTTAGTTAACACGGGTGACGGGTTTAGTTTTTGAATATTTTTTTAAAAGTACTTCCTCCACACGAGGATTTTCTCCTGTATCGTGAGGGCAGTTTCCAAACATAAATTTCACAAGGACAAATATCCAGACCCGAAACAATAACTTGTAGGCCATACAAATACTTGTTCCGTGCGGGAATCGAACCCTCGGCCCTTAGCGCTGTAACTCGTTGCTAAGCCACTGCAACACAGCGCCGCATTTTTGGTCCTATCTATGCAGAAGGTGATATGGATATATAATATATAATATGGATTTATAATAGGATACCAAGTATGTATTGTGGTGTTTTCCCAAGGCTGTAATCAGCCATCTTGATTATTGAAATTCGAATGTTTCTATTTTTATTTTAATAGCCTCACAAATCATCCTTAGTAGGCCATCGGCGTTTTTTTTTTTTGGGAGGATTTGTGATTTATTAAATCTAATGTACCATTACATTAGATTTTAGGGGACATTCTTGAACATGTTCATTGTTCACAGACTAGACTTCCCGGAGCGCTGGTGCTTAACGTCAGCTATACATTCTTCTTTAACATTGGTTTTTATTGATATTTTGTTCGTCCCATAAGACTGCTTATGAGAGAGACTGCATTCACAATCGAGCTTATGCAGATGCAGGAGCATCTTGTAGAGGCATATTACCTTGACTGATGGTAAAAACTCACTAATCTTCTTCAGCAGCTTGTAGTATACTTTAATGAAAGTACGTCATTTAGTAATAACGTAGTTAAACTTTTGTATTTTATTCTTTGATTATCTTACAATAGTGCGTAATTTGAAACAAAGTTGAAAGGTTAACATAAACTTACTCTTAGTGGCGCTAGTATCGACTCGTGGAACTTGGTGTATTCCCTGACCCAGCTGTTACAATTGTAGATGTAACTGGCGTGGATATTGATGTATGCTACTTCAGGCAGCACGCTGAACCATTTTTGTAAAAAGTCTGTCCTGTATATGAAATGTATGGAATTATCCGTTGAATATAAATCTTATGATAGCAGTTTTCTTTAATTTTACAAGTGTTTAACCCATGTGATGGTAAGTGAAATTCTAACCCAAGATAGGAAAGTTTTAACAAAGGCCTATTCAGTATTTTAAAACCTAAACAATAGCGAATATATATTATATATATAAAATATATATATATATATATATATATATAATGTTAATATATGAATGTTTATATACACCGTTGTCCATGAAACCAGTGGTTTGGTTTTACTTATAGAACGTAAATTCAATGAAAAATAACAACATTTTTTTTTAGTAAAATCTCAATTTTCCCTTAATTCCTCAATTTTCGCCTGTCCTAAGTCAGGATGAAAGTACGAAGGAAAAGTTACATCACGGGGTATGTGTACCCATTGTGTTTTTATGTTGAATGTTGTGTAGGTAGCTAGCGCGGGCGGTGATCTTTACAGTGATTACGTCACTCGGGCGCATAGGGTATCCATGAATTTATGGACGGTGTCGGACAGAAACTTTTTAAATTTTATGAAAGAAAATAGCGTTTTTTTTTAAATTCATTGAATTTACGTTACGTTCATTGAATGTACGTAAAGGGTAATATAATAACATTGGGCATCAGTAGTAAAAATGTTATCAGACATTTTGTATTATCTTTGCACATGGGTAAAAATTCAACACGGCATTAGTGTCGTAAATGCTGAAGTTGGGATTTTGTAATGATTTTAGAATTGTGAAAGGACAATTGATCTAGAATTTGAGCATGAAGGCAAAACCCATATAAAAAGAACAAGTCAAAAAATCTGATATGATTCTAAAGGAACTTTATTAAATTAAAACATTTTCAAAACTGCTAAATCTTTATATATATATAAACCAATTGCTGTCCATTAGTCTCGCAAAAACTCGAGAGTGCTCGACCGATTTGGGTGAATTTTTGTATGGGTCCCTGAATGGTTTAATAAACTCAATTGGTACCTAGTAGGTGGTGCTGTTGTCGAGATCCAGAAATTACTCGTGTAAAAGCCAGGGAGGATCGCTAGCGCCTAATAATAATGTAGGAATTTATAAATAGTGAATAGGTGCCATTATTTAGACAAACAAATACAATGCGATAATTCACACTGTAAGTATAAGGACTCCCTGAACAAATTGGTTTCGACAAAATCAATTAACCTACCTGCAGTGGGCTGAGGTCGCAAGCTACTAACACAAATATTTTATTTGAACCTATATATTATATTCTTACTCTATTAATAACCTCAGAACTTAACCATTCCTCGTTGATTTGTATTATTATATATAACTTCAGTTTAACTAAAAGTTTATTTACATCAAAGGTACAAAAAATTAGAGAACATTCGGCACTCAATACAATACCTAAACCTGTTCTCTGAAGAAGCATGTGTAAGGTCCACAATCAGTTCAAAGGGTTGTTGGCAAAATGGCTTCAATGTTAGGATCACATGATATATCAGCAGATCCGCGTTTACCTCGCCGATTCTGAAAGAAACATGCAAGATTGAATGATGCAATATGTTTAATGAAAGCTGAACCCAAATATCGTAATTCATCCATTAAACAACAATTAGCATCAACATTAAACGAATTTTCTAAGTAAATAATGTATCGTCTTTTCAACTTCATTATTAGATCATTAATAACTTATTGCAATGGAATGTTGCAGTTTTTATAATTTTTAATCATAGTCTCTCACTTGTATCTTCTTGATATGAAATAAAAAACTGGGTTGCCAATCTTGCTGGTGCCAGCTTGATAAAAAATGTTCAGTGACTTGATACTTTTAAACTCTTCTTTTTCGTGCATATTATGTTTCACAATGAACTCCTCGAAATTTGTTGAGGACATGTCAATGGATGACCATCGTGCGTACGAAGAAAACAGAAGACTGGATGTGCTGCAAATTAAATGTATTATTTTCATAACAAAATGTCTTATTTGCTTCTACTTCTTACAATAAATATTTTATTACTTACGATTCAACAGGCTTATGCTCTGGAGGACCTAAATATGCAAGTAATGTCGCCATCTAAATGAAACACAAAAACCACTTTTAATAAATATTTTCTTCAAATGACATTAAATAAATTTATTTAAGGAATTTGTACAGTTCGTATTTAAGAAATTCTTCAATAGAAATGAATCATTATAAAAATGTTTATATAGTAAAATAAATAAAATAAACTTAATAGAAGATTGACGTTGCTTAGTTAAAAAATATTAGTTTACTAAATTTTACATTTTGTTTTTCTTCTCTTCTCAGAGAGACATTATTTTAAAAAGGTAATTTAATATATAAAATTTAATATTTGTTTGTTCGTATTTTATGCGCTGCCATATCGTGCATCAGATTGCGATTTGCAACATGCGATTATCAGCATATTGCTTGCAATTCCGCGAAGGTTTTAAGACCGATTTACACTTCGACAAGTACAGTAGCGAGTTAACTTGCGAACCTGGCGAGTTAAGTTTGAACCTCGTTTGAACGGCAATAAGCGAGTTAAGTAGCAAGTTAATGATTAAGTTGAACGGGATAGCCGGCCGAGCTATTTTTCGGCGAGTTAAGTGCGAAGCGCTGCCCTCCCGCGCGTCTCCCACCACCCGCAACTAAACTCGCCGTTCGTGTAAACGAGCGAGTTTAGTTCAGTGCATAAGTTGACAGGATGCAACGTTTGCGCGCCAAAACGTATAATTGTACTTTTATAATTAAACTCGCCACAAAGTTTGTAAGATACTGTTTATTGAATATTTATATGTTTTATATTGTGTTTTAATAATAAAATGAACGGAAGATATCACGTATAAATTTGTACAGGAGTATTTAGAACACGAATGTTTAAATAATAGTAGAAGTTCAAATTGTAAAATTAACTCGAGATGCTGCACTCATGTAAATTCTTAAAAACTTCTTTAACAACAACCATTAACACTTCTCTGACTGGATCATTTAATTCATGACTTAATCCTGGAACCATCTTAAACGAAAACCAGAAAAATTCTGAAGTCTTGAAACGTCATACTCCAACGATCTCTATGAACTAATGTCGTTAACTAAACTCGCCACAAAGACATTGTTTGAACGCTACTGCCCACTTAACTGTTTACTGTCAATTGCCCTGTAACTAAACTCGCTACTTTACTTGTCGAAGTGTAAATCGGTCTTTAGGCATAGTTGGACCCAGTAGGTGGCGCTATTTTAGAATCCGTTTTTTTTTATAGAAGAGGGGGCAAACAACGGCTCACCTGATGTTAAGTGACTACCGCCGCCCATGATCAACCGCAACACCAGGGGAATTGCAGGTGCGTTGCCGGCCCTTTAGAAAGGAGTAAGCTCTTTTCTTGAAGGTCCCCAGGTCGTATCGGTCCGGAAAAAACGCCGGTGGTAAACTATTCCACAGAGAGGTTGTACGCGGAAGAAAACTTCTTTTGAAACGTACTGTGGTCAACCGCCAAGCATCCAGATGGTGTGGATGGTATTGGGATGTTTGCCGCGTAGTGCGTTCACGAAATTTGGCGGCTGGGATTAATCCGAACAATTCCTCAGAGCACTCTCCATGGTATATGCGAAATAAAATGCAAAGAGATGCAACATCTCTTCGCAGTGCCAGTGAATCAAGCCGATCGGAAAGCACTCGGTCGTCGACGATTCGAGCCGCTCTGCGCTCGATGCGGTCAAGTGGAAGGAGCTGGTACTGGGGAGCCCCAGCCCAGAGATGGGAACAGTATTCCATGTGCGGCCGAACCTGCGCCTTGTAAAGTCGCAGGCGGTGTGCCGGCATGAAATACTGTCCCGCTCTGCTGAGCACGCCAAGCTTTTTAGAGGTCAATTTGGCCTTCTCTTCCAAGTGACCACGAAACTGCACGTCACTCGATATATCAACGCCGAAGATTCCGATACTGGCTGAGGCAACAAGGGGAGTGCCTTGAAACTGAGGAGATACGACAAAGGGGTTCTTTTTAGCGGTTAACGCGCAAACTTGTGTCTTCTGGGGGTTAAACTGGACTAGATTTAGTCGCCCTCAATCCGAGACTCTGTTCAGCAAAGTCTCGACTTCAGACACAAGTTTGTCCCGGCACTCGGAGACGTTTTTCCGAGAAATATTGGCTCGGCCGGTCCAGTGCTATCAACTGCTTATTAATGAATGTTACGGGTTTGCAACATATCATTGATATGCAGAAGAAACAGCGTTGGCGATAGCACGCAGCCTTGTGGAACACCAGCATTAATAGGCTTGCAATCGGAGCTTGCACCGTCTACAACGACCTTGATGGTCCGATCTGCAAGAAAGCTGGTGATCCAATCGCACAATTTCTCGGGAAGCCCATAGGAAGGCAGCTTCGAAAGAAGCGCTTTGTGCCAAACCCGATCGAAGGCCTTCGCAATGTCCAAACTAACGGCCAATGCCTCCCCCTTGGACTCTACTGCCTCCGCCCATCATGAGTTAGGTAGACCAGAACATCACCAGCTGACCGACCACGGCGAAAACCGTATTGGCGGTCACTTATCAGCTGGTGATCCTCAAGGTACCTCATGAGCTGGCAGTTTACAATAGACTACATTGTTTTGGAGAACAAGGAGGTGATGGCGATAGGCTGGTAGTTAGACGGGTCTGAGCGGTCGCCTTTTATAAGGATCGGGTGGACGAAAGCCGTCTTCCATGATTTTGGGACTACGCCTAGGGAGTAGGAGTACCGGAAAAGATGCGTTAAAACCGGTGCCAACTCTGGAGCACACGTCCTCAGCACAATTGGGGGGGATTCCGTCAGGCCCACTCGACTTGTGGATGTCCAGGGAGAGGAGTGCTTTGCGAACAGAGCGCTGTGTGAACCGCACTTCCGGCATGGAGCACTCACACCGCGGGATGGTCGGCGGCGTACTCCCCCCGTCATCGAGAGTCGAGTTGGACGCAAAGAAAGAGCCTAGAAGATCGGCTTTCTCCTTTGCGGTATGGGCCAGTGAGTCGTCCTCCCTGTGCAGAGATGGAAGAGATGGCTGACAGAAATTCCCCTGGACAGCCTTGGCGAGAGACCAGAATGCACGGGTTCCAGAAGGAAGGCGAACTAGTTTCTCGCCAATTCTGCCTATGTGCTCTGACTTTGCCTTGGCAATGACTCTTTTGATCCTTCAATACCAGAGCTTCCGACCTAGAGGCGGAATTATACTTCTTTTTTATTGCGCTGGTGTTTACATCCCGGGACGCTGATGCGTCAGCCCAGGCTCGGTAGCACTCCTGCTTATAGCATGATGCTATTTTACAGGAGCGACCAAACCATGGCTGAGATTTGCCTCCAATGCGCACCACAGAGGAAGGAATAAAAAGTTCCATACCCTGAAGTACCACATCAGCGACAGAATGCGCAACAATGTTGGGATCGTCCGGCGAGAAGCAAACCCGCCCCCAAGGGATATCGCCCGTGATCGTGATCGCCCGGATATCGCCCGTGCGAAGTCGAGGCAGATCGCCGATAAATAATAAACATTTGCGTTTGACAAACGAAACTTAAATTTCTCACGTCGAAAAATAAAAAATATTTTATTATTTCCCTAAAATTATATCTATCCCTGTACCTATTGTACACCTATTGAAAGTAAACTTTGTACAGCCGCCGAACGAAGTTACAATGTTGAATGTTATTTTAATTTAGTAATATTTACCCGTTAAAAGAAATAAATATAATGCAATTTGGGGAGAGCGTAATGTTGAAAAAATAAATAATATACCTATATAAATAAAATAAATATTTATTTTATATTTTAATTTTTATTTTTATTTTCATTTTTATTTTCATTTTTATTCTTATTTTTATTTTATTTTATTACCTTTACTATGTTCTTTTCTACCTGGGAGTCCCGCAGTCTGCGCAGGTAATGCCTACACACTTATATATGTTGCTGCCGTAAAGGCCATGACTTCATAGGCCTATAGCTCACTAGTGTCAGTATAACAATAAAAAATTATAACCTTATCAAATGGTCGCCTGCCGACGGCCTTGTGGTCTCTGCTGCAAGACAGATAGTCTCCGATTCGTTCCTGATGGTTCCATAGCAGCCGATGTAGAGCGACTACGTTGGCATCGCTGATGAACGACAGGTTGTGGGAAGTTTGGTCAATGCTCTCGCAGTCCGATGCTATTTGGATGAAGAATCTGGAAGTATTTTTTAAGAACTTGTTCCGCGCACTTCTCCAATAACATGTTTATGACTACATATTATAACTATTAAGGTATAATACGATTACAAAACTATTAAGGTATAATTAAGTCCGCCGTTACTGTTTCGCAGATATTATCATAAAAAATGTATGTAGTTACAATGTTGTAATTAAAATAACAAAATATTTTCAAAATAAATTGCAAGCGTTATAAATTATTTTTCTAGTTTAGCTATGCAGTACTTTTGCTTCACAGTTATTTTTACCATTCACAGCTTTAAAAATGGTTCTCATAAATATAACTAAACAAAAGGGTAAACTTCACTCCCGCTGGGTTTCTTCCTGGTTTTTGCCAGGTCAGTAGTATTTTCCAAATCAATAGTAAAAATATAAATAACTTTTAATAAGTACATATTCTTGTAATCCCTCTATATATATATATATATATATATATATATATATATATATATATATATATATATATATATATAAAAATGTTTCTACCTATGCCTGTTATAAACTTTGAAACCTGTTTGAATTTGTGTGTTTGAATGGGTCCCTATATGGTTTATATTCACATTTGGACCCGGTAGGCGGCGCTGATGTCGAGATCCAGAAATCATCCGAGCGTAGCCGGGGTAGTATTGAACGAAAAATATTCTATATTATAATATATGCTTAACTATGATACACATCTAACCTGCATGTCATTGAAAAAAGAAAAAAAATTCGAAGACATGTGAAGCTCGCCAACACGCATTGAGGCAACGCAGCTGACATTCCTTTGCCATAAGACCCTCTCAGAAATGAGAGGATGCCTGTGCCCAGCTGTGGGACGTATACGGGTGTCCTGTACTTTTACTATATATTACACAGCTACATAAACAATATTACGAAACAAATTACAATAGAAAATTACAAAGACTATATATATAAAATATAAAAAAATTATATTACAATAATAACATAATTCACAAGTATACGCTTAAGGTAAATTGCACGCGGGTGCGATTTCCTTACTCGCATACTATGCACGTACTTTAGAGATGCATTTTTGTTTTGCCCGTACTATATATAATATAACATTACATTATCTCAATATATAGTATATCCGAGAGGAGTAAACATAACATAACGTATTTATGATAAAACGGGTGTAGTATGTCTTAACGACCGTATTTGTAATATTCAAATTCCAACTTTATACTAACATATATGTTTTATATGAATAATTCATCACCGAAGGATAGACTGGCCTAACATTGATACCTAAATTTCTCTTTGAAATTTAAATGTGCTTACTTGCGACCTGCTTCAAAGTGTGCTCTGAGGAAATCATTAAAGGGTAACATGTGCTGTTCTTTGGAGAATTCAACGTGGTTGGCGATGTTTTGCAGGATCTTGGACATTAACATCAAACCGCGCTTCACTTGCGCCGGCACTGGCCGACTGACAATGCCCATTTCTTGTGGTGAAACTACAAGGAAACAAATCTTATCTAAATTTTACAGTAATTAAATCAGTAGCTTAGTTTTGAAACCTAGCATACTCGTACATTCAATCTTATCACATGAAAGTAACTTCCGACGTGGCGAAATCAGGACAAAGTTGGTCTTTTTGTTTACGCACAAGTTTTTAGTCAGTAATATTTTCTGTATTGATGACATTAACCTCTTCTTCGATGTGCCCAATAACTAATATCGTCATTGTGGAAGAAAATTGTTATTGAGGATCGCTATTGACTTTTGTAACCTATCTATTATTTATAAGATTGAATTTCAATTCTATAATTTTTAACATTGTTATTGATTTTTAAAAATGCAAGACACTCACGGTCAATGCTAGTAAAGAGCCGTGGTAGCTCAGGGGCTTAACTCTCGTTATAAATTTCACCGTTCGCGGGCATACCCAGGTTTGATTTCCGCCGGCACCAATAAAATTGGTAATTGCAATTCTAAGTGCTGAATTGCCACGTGCTGGCGTTGAAGGAAAACATCGTGAGGAAACCAAAGAGTCTGGGAAATAAAAAATATTTTAAAGACACAATATCCGCCAATTTGGGGAAAGCGCGGCTGACATTTCCTTCCCCTAAAACTCTTTCAGAAGTGAGAGGAGGCCTGTACCCAGCAGTGGGACGTATATAGGCTGTAACTTGACTTTTAAATTTTTACCCACGGTCAATACCACCATCGTATGTGTAAAAACAGAAACTACAATCGAATCTAAAATATCACTTTAATTGCATTGATACATTATCTCCTAAAAGCAAGGTTCTTAAAATTATCGTTTCTAACTTATTTTTGTTGAAAGGTCTTTGTTGTTGTTAAACGTTCTCATGTACAACAGAGAATTTAAATGCAAGCTTATAAAAATATTATGTTCTTATTAAAAGACTGGTACTCGTTTCGCTGTGCGCACGATTATATTTTATTGCCGAATCAAGATGTAAAATATCAGGAAACTTTTTTATGGGACTATCGTAAAATCCGTTCTTAGTGAGCGTCTGCGGACGTTGCGAAATAAGTAACTATACTAAATTTCAAGTCAATCGGGTGTATAGTTTTAGAGATCTCATGATGAGCCAGTCAGTCAGTAGTATTTCGCTTATATAGATTCTTGATTAAAATATCTTCATATATTAAATATTTATTTCACTACACAACTAAATTACACTCATAATTATTACTGTGTTGTTAGTACAAGTATGAAACTCACCTATAGCAGGATTGATGAATCTCAAAAATAGAACAGTGCCGACTGCTCCTACGCTAGTTTGTGGAAACTGAGCGAAACGTTTGCTTAACACCTGTGGAAGAAATTGACTTATTGAACGTCAAAAAACCTTCTGACAGATAGTGGCCTCGAAACATTGCTTAAGTTTTTAATGTCTATACAATCTCTTGGGTGGGGTCTTTCACAAACCAAAATACTAGAGTACTCTACCTATTTAACTTATAAGGCGTATAACTATTTCTTTATAGCAAATTTTTATAGCGATTATTTCTAGTTATAGCAAGTTTTTATTGCTTTTGAGCATACAAAATATGATTTTCTTTTATATTTTCGCTCTATTATCAGTTTATCAGTCACTTCTCTCATTAGAATAGTTCAAAATTAATCATATAATTTTGAAAAAGTAAAAATACAACACTTTTTATATATGTAAGTATATCTAAAGTAAAAAGTGAACCCCCTCAGAAATGAGGGGAGGCCTGTGCCCAGCAGTGGGACGTACACAGGCTGTAACTTAAATTTTTCTTTAATGTAAGTATAAACTTAATAATTCACATGTTCCCTTTCACCTTGCATTTTGGTTATATTGCATATTTCATTACTCGATAACAGCGCCACATAGCGGATCAAATTGTGAATCTAAACCATTCAGGCACCCACTTAAACAACACACAAAAAAAATCAACAAAATCGTTCGAGCCGTTTTCGAGTTTTAGCAAGACTAACTGACAGCAATTGATTTTTATATAGAGAAGATAATAAGTTTTATGTTACCAAACCGTTTAAATATACCTGATAAAGACAGTGACACATGCTGCGCAGCTGCGGGGGAAACATATCCGACGAATTGACGATACAGTCGAATACTTCTTTTGTCAGCGCGATGAGGTTCGATCGATTCACGTCAATGTCCTGGTTCGTGTCCAATCTGTGTCCAATTGAAAATTTTAACTTAATATTTTTGTTGAAAATTTGATATTGTATCTCATAAAAGTATCACAGATGTATCAGAATAATAACACGTTTTTATGATCGTAAGAGAAATTATTCACCCCCTTACATGTTGTGGATTTTTTATACATAATCGAGCATAGAGTCCACCTGATGGTAAGTGGATGCTGTGGCCCATAGGCATCGTCGTTCAGAACTTTAATAAAAGGTTAGCAGAAAAATATTAAGTGACATACTGTACGCCGCCACCTAGTGGCATAAGAGTGAATCCATTACCCTATTTTATCCCGTGAGTATCGGAATAGGCGACAGAGGAAAATGAAACAGGAGATCCTGATAACAAACTGAAGATAATAAAAAAACTGCAGTTGCCAACCCGCCTGCCAAGTATGGCAACTATGGCAACTATGGAAAATATATCTATATAATGGACTTTTGATAGGCTGTGGAGAATGAATGAAAGAATAACTGTATGAAATACGAAACACCTGTGGAAATTAACCCTAAATGGAATCTGTAGGTTTGTGCTAGAAAAATGATGTAACATACTAATTTATAAGTGTAACGTAAATTCAAGGTACAAAAATTTTGATTGCGGTTGTATCTTTTTTAGTAAACTATTGAAGTATTTTTAAGTTTTCGTTGGTAATGCACTATAATTTTGTGTTCGTCAAATATTCGCAAGCACTAATCTATGAAACAGATAGTTTATGTTATAACACCGGCTGCAAAAAGTAAGTGAGATAACGTGTTTATAGTTAATATCTAAAGGACAATGGCGAAAAATTTGTTGATGGAATTAGGGCGGATACAGACGGAACGCTGCATGGCACGGCGTGACAAAGGAACTTTTTGTGCAAAAATTATGTTATTTTAATGATTCTTAACACTGAAATTCCTTAATTTAAGCACGAATAGACCGAAGCGTCCCGTGTGACACCGCGGCATTCTGTGGCACGTCACGACATTCCATGGCGTGCCGAAGTATGCCTCGCCACGCCGTGCAAGCGTCTACTTATGTCACCGTTACAGATATCAATAAAATAATTTACTATGTTTTATCTAATCAAGCTTATAGCCTATCTAAGACTGGAAAAAAATAATCATACCTAATTTAAAACTAAATTGACTAGTCGTGACAAATTGTTGACAGAATCATTAAGCGTCTATTTATGTCAACATTACAGATATCATTAATAAGATTAATCAAGCTTATGGCCTATCGAAGTCTGGAAAAAATCATCTTACATAATGTAAAACTAAATTGACTAGTTGTTGTTGTTGTAACGATTTGCCAATTAAGGCAGGCAAAGTTCTAATACCATACAGCCTAGAAGGATGTGAATTTTGTTCAAAGTGGAATATCTTTAATTCCTGCCTTTTGCAGTAATATAACTAAAAAAAAATTTTTTTAGGATTTCAAACTCATTTTTTTTTCATATGTAAGAAATTTTTTTTAACATAAATTTGTTTGGGGGCTCGCCATTGTCCTTTCTTTAAAAAATGCAATGAAATTCAAACCTAATGTCCAGATTAAAAAAGGTTTTCAAACAAGTTTTAAAATGGCTAGATGTATGTAATTGATAGACAGGATAAGTTTAACTAAGCAAATTATTATTAATTTTACTCAAATCCATACAATTATTTTTGTTTACTACACACCTTGCCGGATCTACTTCAAAGCTCAGTTCAGGTTGCTGCTCGGCTTGGTCCAATAACGCAGATATAAGCGGCTCTAGTAATGATTGTAGGTACCCGTAGCCGTATATCTTGAAACAATACGCCATTATCTTGCTCCCTAACGAATTTCCTCGGAAAAGCGTTTGCATGCAGTCGGATACCTGTAATTTATGGGTGCAGTATAATTAATTTATACTTGCTATATTGTAGTCTCTTAGTGGAACCTCAGTGTTTATTTAGATGAGAAATGCAAGAAAGCAAAAGGTATTTGGAGAAATACAAGTGTTTATACTTTCTTTTAAATAAAATTCATACAAACAAAATGTAAATAAGTCGATATTATATGACAATAACAAAACTTGAATAATTATAAGGTCTATTTGTGCTCATCGGTAACATAATCACGTCGACAGACCGAAATTTAACTAAGTGTATATTGGAAACGCTTAAAATATATTATGTTTCTACTCACTATTTTATTTTAAGGTTAAAAAAAGAATTTATCAAATAAATTTTTAATTTTGGAAAAAAGTAGAGGGATATATTGCATGTTACTTCATAAACTAAGGGTAATTGCTAAAATTATGAAATATATGAAAAAGACAAAAATATATTGCAGCCCTGCTTACAAGTATAATAATAGGAAGTACCTATATGATAACGTGTTTGTAATATTTTTATTAAATATAATACATGCATATGTTAAGACCCAAAAAGCACTATGCGAAGCCGGTGCGGACCGCTAGTATAAAGAGTGACAAACGAGCACACAGTCCACCTTATGGTAAGCAGATGTCGTGCCTATAGCCATCTAACATTTATCCTCAATTAAGAATCAAAATGCAGATATGCGTTGCCTCCCCTGAGGACTGAAATTGAATGCCTCGTTTCCAGTAAAAAAAGGTTTTAAAACGTTTTCTTATCCTATCATATTAGAATCAGTTTTTAAAGAGTATAAGAGTGTATTATTTTTGTTTAAATTTTATCTTAATTTTTAAGACTAACAAAAAAAAAACTATAGAATAGTAGTTATGATGCTGTGACATATTAGAACTTTAAAACTTATTAAAAAATCATGAAATTCCATAAGTGGTTAAGATAACCGCAAGTATATTTAATTAAACTTAATAAGCTATCTATTTTATAATATTAATGTCTATTAATTTATGTGATATTTCTTTATAAATAAATAAGTAAATAAAATGTATATAAAATAAATAAGTATAACCTCGACTTCTCTGTAGAAAATATTCCATAGCAACGGAGCCAGTAGATGCTTGGCATCAAACAGCGTGACGAACACGCGCGCAAGTTCATCCATTTGAGACGTGCTCACTACGTTCGCGAGCGCCATTGCAATTGGCAGCTCCCCCTAAAATATTAAAAAAAAATTATAATAAATGATTGAAACTACTTTTATGTATTTTATCGCGTTTATTTATTTTATTTTTAATATCCTACGTTTCGGGTGCTTTCCAGCACTCATGGTCACGGGGGGCTGGAAAGCACCCAAAACGTCGGGTAAATAAATAAGCGCGATAAAATCCGTAAAAGTAGTTTTAATCAATGTGTAGTGTTCGCGTTAATATTAGAAATCATTATATAATAAATGACTCATTTTGATGTTTTGATAAGCATGGCACTTTCGAACCAGCTATATTAGCAAATTATATATAACTAATATTTTATATTTATTGTTTATTTCTACGATCATAATACCTAAAATATTGAATCGGTTTCTAGAAGAGAAATTTCTAGGCCTATCTTGAACAGCAATACTTAGAGCAAGATAATAAATTAAACAATAGATACCTTGTCCGAAATCATGGTGACCAGCTGAACTAACTGTTCAAAGCGGTCGGCCAGCACCGTCTCAGCCAGCGTGTCGAATTCTGTGCCTTGTTGCAAGATTTTCGTCAACACTTCCATAAATGCCGCTCGGGTCTGTAGGTCGCAGTGGTAGCCCAGATCTAGGATATATATTTAAGTGAAATTCAAATGTATATGGTAATTACTTAAATACTTAATTACAGACCACGAGGCATTCCTACTATGTAGCTTTCTTTATTTGGCTACATGTGTAAATGGGCTGCAGTAATACCATCTCGTTCGTTACTTCCTATTTTAATTTGTCACTTCCAATTTTTATAAAAAAGCTCACTAAATACTTAGCGGCCTCGCGACACAACCAGGCAACTACCAACAGACGGTGGCGATTTGACAAGTATTTTTACCTTAATTTCAGCTTTTTTATTATTACACGTTTGAAGTTGCGATGTATTTTTTTAAAGTTTATAAAAAATATTTAAAAAATTAAAATACGAATTGCACAATCGATTTTTCATGTAATTTTACAATAAAAATGTTTTTTTTTTTAATGTAAAATCGAAAGCCAGTTATGTCATTATATCATTTTAGTAACGCCAGCGCATGGTAAAATGATAAAACACTCATTTTTTAATGTTTACATTGTCAAAATAAAAAAATGTCATTGCATAATACAGGTTTTACACACATACAAAATTATAGCATGGTTGCCATTGGCTCAGCCCCAGCGAGACGGATATAATGACCAATCACTTCATTTTTTTTTCATTCAATGATTTAACTATTTCTATTAATAATTACTAAAAAATGGAATTGTTTATATATAAATTAGTGGCAAGAAAAATTTACGCAACTTCTCTATGGATGATAGAGGTAGGGGCTTATGAGCCCTTACTTTCTAAATGTGGTGAATGAGCCAACCTAATACGTAATACAAACTAGCGCATTCTTAGAAAGCTCTATGTCCAGTAGTAAAACTAAAAAGATTTGTCGTGAAACATAGTAAACAGTAAACACTTCATATAAAGCAAAGTAATTTAATATTAACTTAACAATTTATTACTAGAAAAAGTAACGTATTCATAAATAAAATATTACATACCATTAAGCCGATTCACTTACAAGTACTATTACAACTAATATATATTAATTTGTTTGGAAAGAAATAATCATTTTAATCCATTGAAGTAATACGTACTTACGTAAGAGCAGCTATCTCAAACAAAAAATGTGCGCTACTCTGTGTTCGCGCGTTTGGTTTTTTTATCATAGAATAAACATAGGTAGAATGATCCGTAGGTAATAGTAGATTGTATTGTTAAATAGCTAAATTATATCGAGAGCAATATTTAAATTTTGTCATTTATTTTGTATATTATATTTGTTTATTTAATATAATATTATATAATATTATATCACAATTACATTTTAATGATATTTTTATCTGAAAATGTATGTTTAACAAAACTTATTAACATAAAATTTAAATTACAAATATATTTATTTAAATTAGAATCATAAATGCTGTAAATAATCGTTCATAAATGCTGTGCACGCGAGAGTTAAAAATAGACGAATCTATTCCACTTTGACTTTGAAGTGGAAACCTAAAAATAAAATAAAAGAATAATAAGCAGATTTAAACATGAAAAATTTAGCCTAATTACAATAACTTAAATATGTTTCTACAAAAAAAAATGTGTATAATAATGTATTCGTCCCATACTTAAGTACCCACACAAATGTCGCATCTGAACATATTAATTTCATAATCTATATTCCATGATACAAGATGGCGTCTTAGGAATAATTTGTTTTATTATTAATTTATAATACTTTTTTATTGATTAAGTATCTTATTAACTGATGAAAAGTAATTCCTGGGTTTTTACTGACATTTCTTGAATTATTTGTGCAATATCTATGTGTACACACGACGGCATATTTTTATCAAGAGATTTTTTTTAAATCAACACAACACGTGACAACTCTATGAGCGCCTAGCGAGTGACTGATTAAAGTGCGGTGTATGCAACGCAGTTGAGTGGAACAGAGTAGCTGAATGCAGTGTCTCCTCTAGTACGTAGTACATAATAGCTCAATGTTTTAATCAGTAGCGATACTAGGCTTTATATTTGCTCTTTAAACCGAATATTCACTTACCTATGCTATGCATGAGACCCGAGTCAATGTTTGCGCTTAGCAAGTTGGACATGGCTTGAATGGTGGCATTTCTAAGAGCCTCCAATCCCGGACCTTCGGTCATTTCTACTTCGTTGCAGTCGTTAAGTAAATTCATAAATAATGTGAAGTATCTGAATATGATAAAAAACAAATATGGTTAAATTTTTTGGCGTATAAATATATTATAAATATTTTTGATCATTACAAAATAGTTAACGGTATCTAATAGTGAATTATCTTGAAGTTTTCAGTAAAGTACCACAATTTTCGTACGATCACAAGCAAACATATACAATTATAGGTTACATATATAATTATAGGTTACAAGCGGATAACTTTTAAAGTGAAAAGAAACAATTTGACTGTCCTCAGTTAAGTACTGTAGCGTGAAAATATTCTGTGAAGAATTTTGCGAAGAAAATTATTATTAAGAAAAATTGTCCTCTGGAGCATCCTTTGATAATATTAGTATGTGTTGTGGTCGCCGTGATGGAAAGGGTGGAGGCGGGCTAGCGGTACTGGCACTCACTTGAGGAAGAGCTGGCTCTTGGCCTCCATGAGGTCGCCGCGGTCGGACTCTTCGGGCTGCAGCGGCAGCCCCTTCAGCAGCGCCGCCACCGCCTCCATGCACGCCTGGTCCAGCTCGCGGCACACCACCAGATACCTGCAATATTTCATTTTAACCATTTCTATCACTTCATCCTAACTAACACTTACTATTTTTAGTGACAAAAAATTGTTGTGTAATGCTATGATCCTAGTGATAATTTTATTTATATTTATACATACATAAATTGTAGTGGCGGTGGGTACAGTGTAGTGGCGGTGTAAGGATATCCACTATCTCATATCGTCCTGTGGTTTCGTAAAAGATGACAGAGGGAAAAACATAGAATACTATAATACATACATAATAGAACGGGGGAGTGGGCAGAGCCCGTGTAGCCACTAACATATCACTAACACGTCAATTCACACGTATAAATGTCAACATAATCAATCGTTTCCAATTTTCGTGGCAAGCGTCCCTGCATGCAAATTATTTAAAAAATGGCAAATTGTGCAATAATTACGTATCGAAATAACAGCGGGACATGGAATTTAAATAAAAGAGACATATCCTACAACCAGTACATAAGTCGAAACTATTAATATAATGTGAATATTAGAAACAAAAATAAATAAATATTGATGTGTCAAAAATTTTAAATGTGTGAATTCGTTATGTCTGTCAACACAGCGAATCGGGTTTGAAGTAATAATGATAATACAACGTAATTGCTTGTATGTGTGCTCCTGGCGACGCCGATCCTCGTACAAAATAAGGTTGACAACCATTCTATTGTGTATTATAGTATTCTATGGGTAAAAACGAGGATAAAGACTACACCGTTTTCTTAATATTTTTAGGCTAACAAACGAGCACACAGCCGCGCAAAACCCAAAAAAAAAGAGAAAGCCTCCAATGATAATGGTCTTCGGTTTTATACAGTCACCGTACGAAACATAGCAGCTTTAAGATGCTATTTTGCACAAGTTTTCTGTGAGAAAGTGGTCCTTCCCCGATCGAGCCTAGCCATTAGTACTACAAGCACAATATAGCTGCAGCATGGCTTTATTATATATATGAAACAACAACTAGAAAATGAAATAAAAACTGCAGGTGCCAAACTGCCTGCCAAGCGTGGCAATTATGGCAAATATATCATTTATAAGGCAATATTTGCAGAGGCAAATGTTCAGCTATAGACTTCACCCTTGACTATTAATATAATTTTGTAATAAATAAGTATAAACCTAAATATTTTGTATTAAACCAATTTTACGAATTTTGTCGCTTTTTATTTTGAGCTATTTTAACTGCCTACATAACTTCAAAATAATATATGTTCATTATGCGAAGATTTGTCCAAAAGTTAAAGTTAACGCGTTCACTGTCCTGTGACCTACATATTGCTATTATCTTACTACTGTGTCTGGAAACCGTATAGTAAAAGTATTAAAATCTAGAAGTAACCCGGGATAGCCGTGACAAGATAATGAACATGGGTGCTGCAAAAAACATGTAACATTGGGAGTTAAAATAAAACCGAAAAAATCGGTAAAATTAGTTTTACAAAAAAGTGGAATATTCGCTTATATATGTAATCATTTAATGAATATTTTTAAAATAATATTTAAGTGTAAAAACCTTGATTTAGAAGATGCCTCGGCCCGAGCTATCTGATGACTAGTACCAAGGACCCAATCGGTCACATACTCCACCATTTTATTTCGAAATTTCATTTCCTGTAAAAAATTACATTAACAAATATTTAAGTATACTACTATATTTTATATACTTATATGAGTAAAATTTCTTAAAAATGGAATAATTGCTATATAAATGAAACAAAAAACGATTTAAAGAATGAAGTAACAGAACATTTGATGTCGAAACTTTAATAACTATAAACAACTAAAACTACACTTAAATGGTGTAGGTTCACTAGTGTTGCCATCTCAGCGCATTTGGCGCTAGATCTAGTACAATTCTAGGGTACTAAAGCGCATTTTCTGGGAGAATGAATTAATGTAAACATCTTTTGAAGATCGCTTCAAAAATACATTCAGTCTTTTCAAAGTACTTCGAATAGCTAAAACGTAATCATCATATGTATTCGCATTACGAAAAATTAGCAAACCCTCCAAGAACAGCCCCCCCCGCCCGCGAATTATAATTATTATTTACTTAGGCACCTTTTACAGATTTATTATTAGAAAATAACGGTTGACGGTTTATGCTTAAGGTTAAATCATCATCATTACAGCCCTTCACAAGTCCACTGCTGAACATAGGCCTCCCCCGAGTAATGCCACAAAGCACGGTCCTGAGCTACCTGCATCCATCGACTTCCTGCATGTCTTACCAGGTTGTCACTCCACAGAGTGGGGGGTCGCCTTACACTATGCCTACCGGTACGAAGTTGCCACCAGAGAACCTTTCTTCCCCATCGGTTATCGGTTCTTTAAGCTATATGGCCGGCCCAATGCCACTTCAGCTTACTAATCCGTTGGGCTATGTCGGTCACTCTGGTTCTACTGCGGATATGCTCATTTCTGAGTTTATCACGCAGGGAAACCCCGAGCATAGCCCTCTCCATAGCTCGCTGAGCGACCTTGAGCGTCCTCATACGGCCAGCAGTGAAGGACCACGTTTCAGATCCGTAAGTTATCACTGGCAACACTCAATGGTTGTACAATCTAGTTTTCAGAGTGTCAAGTTGAGATATACTTGACGAGAAGATGTGTCGTAACTTCCCGAACGCTGCCCAGCCGAGTAGAATCCGTCGATTGACCTCTCGGTGGAAGTTGGACTTACCTAGTCGGACTATTTGTCCCAGGTAAACGTACTCGTCAACAACTTCGAGCATAGTGCTCCCAACAACTACCGGCATAGGTGTGACATGGATATTATACATGATCTTTGTTTTGTCCACGTTCATCTTAAGTGTTCGTTGTGAGACACCATTGAGGTCATTGAGCATAATGCTTAGGTCCTCCAGCGATTCTGCCATAAGGACTATATCGTCGGCAAATCTATGGTGAGTGATGTACTCGCCATTGATGTTAATACCGTATCCTTTCCAGTCCAGTAGCTGTAAAACGTCTTCCAATGCAGCGGTGAACAGTTTCGGGGATATAACGTCACCCTGTCTTACACCTCTCTGCAGTTAGATAGGTTTCGAACTCTGGTTCTGTACTCGGATAGCCACCGTAGCCCTACTGTACAAACACTTCAGCACTTCGATATACCGACAGTCAACTTGGCACCGCTGAAGGGACTGTAGCACCGCCCAAATTTCGACGGAATCAAAGGCTTTCTCATAGTCCACATATGCCAAGCAAAGTGGCAGATTGCTTTTCGATTCCATCCTCGCCTGGGGCCCTGCCGTTTTTAAGGTGCTGGAGAGTCGTTCTAATCTCGCTCAGACTGACGTCTGGGATATCATCAGAATAGTGTCGGATAAGACTTGCTCTTGGATGGTTACTCACACTTGCATGTGGCTCCAACGATGATGTGTACAGCTGCCCATAGAACCTCTCGATCTCACTCAAAATCTCAGGTGTCCCGAAAACGATGCTGCCACACTCAGTCTTCAGCTTTGACAGTTGGCTCTTACTGGCAGACAGATCTCTGGCAAAGACTTTTGAGCCCCGGTTCCGCTCGATCGCTTCTTCGACACAAGCAGTATTAAAGTTGCGTAAGTTCTGCCACATGCATTTGGAGACCTGTCTGTTCAGATGCCTCTATGCTGTCAAATCTGCTGACGATTGCAGCCTTATATCCCGTTTAACAGCCATGAGATTAAGAGTGTGATCGGAGAGTTTTTGTGTTCTTCTGCGGCGGGTCTTGCAGAACTTAGCTCCGACCGCATGGACAGTTTCCACGAGCTTGTCATTAATATCGTCCACTGCATTGCAATCTTCTACGCATTGAAAGCTGTTTTGTAACTCGAGCTGAAAGATTTTGTGATTTCGGACTAGAGCACGAGAGGGACGGAGCGTTGACTTCAATTAGACGAGATCTCTCCAACTTAACGTTTAGGTTCAGTGTGCCTGGAACAATTCGGTGATCGCTGCCAGTTTTCACCCTTGCGATCACTGAGACATCACTGAACAGTTGGCGTCTGGTCGTCATAATGAAGTCAGGCTCATTTTTGGTCGAACCGTCGGGGCTCGACCAGATCCACTTCCTGTGGGGTCGCATCTGGAAGAAAGAGTTGATCATAGTCCCTCTTCTCCATGAATATATTTGCCTACCCAAATTTCCCTACCTTCAGCTCATTTTTCTTGCCCAGTTTTCGTTGAAGTCTCCCATTAACACCGTATAGTGAGTTTTGGAGGAATGCATGGCTCTAGAAATATCCTCATACATTTCCTCCAGCTCCTCATCGGGATGTTCCGACGTTGGCGCGTAAAACAGTATGACCTTCAGCGACTACCGTTTGGTGATTCTGAGTATAAGGTACGCAACTCTCGTCGATACATTCCCAATCTTTACAACGTTAACAAGAAACTTGTGGACGATAAATCCAACACCTCCTTGGGATAGATGATCGCCCTCCCGGTGATAAAACAGGTTGCCGGATTCGAGAATCACCGTGTCCTCCACCTCTCTTCGGACCTCGGATAATCTTATAATATTCCAGCATAAGGTTTATGTTTATGAAATTAAATGTTTTATTTTTATTTTTATATTTGAGTTGATTGAATGAAAGAATTACATTTTTAATAGCAATAAAACTTATAAAAATTTAAAATTATTTTATTAACAAATTACGTGTCTAGTACGCGCTATTGATATGAAATAGGGAACCAGTTGACGTAATTCTGAAGCTAATAAAAACTGGTCTCGATACGTCAATTTTTGGGAGTTATCTTGACCACATACATATTCAACGTACAAAATGGACGTCCACTTAAAAAATTCCAACCGTTTTTGTGCAAAGGAGCAATATAAAATTACTTTTTAGAAAATATAAGATGGATTAATAAGCGTTTTCTTTATATACGGCTACTCATATTATTGTACAAGTGCAATATAGAAGACCACAAAATTGCTTGACCTTGACGTGTTGAGAGTAGAGCACAGTCTAATAACGCTTTGCATTTTGACACGAGCAAAATAGGCATATGGTATCGCAAACTTGTTTTTAGATGTAGTTAAGATGCATAGGCGAAGTATCAGTTGTGTCAGACTATATGCCAAGACAAACTTCCATGATGGGTTAAACGTGAACCGAGCCATTCGGCGTGGTGGGCGTTAAAATCGCCAAGAATCACAATCTCTGCGGATGGGATCTTCTGTAGCAACGAATCTGTAGCCATTTGGACGTGGGGTCGGCATTACCACTATGGGACCTATAGCGGCACCCGTAGACGCGCGGATGGTCATCGCTGTCTACGCGTAGCCAAAGGATGGACAGGTCCAAAACTTCAAAACTGCCGAGACGTCGAGAACAGATCTCTAACTTACACGCAAACTCCAGCCAGAGGCACAAAGGAGTGTTCCAGTTTGAACGAGATAAGAAGTATCAGCCGAAGAGGACACCTGCATCTTGATCAGAAAGAGCAGGGCCGTCTTCGCCGTCTCGAAATGGTAGTCGATAGCGTTTAAGTTCGAATGAAGTCCTCTGATATTGCAAATATTCACGGATAGCGTGGCAGGGGTCACCTTGGTCTTGTTACTCAGCTTGCTCCGAGCAGTCTTGAGCGGAATTTCGGCAAAGTCAGAGCACAGAGACAGAATTGCCGAGAAACTTGTTCGCCTTCCTTCTGGAATCCGTGCATTCTGGTCTCTCGCCAAGCTGTCCAGGAAGGAATTTCTTTCAGCCATCAGAAAGGAGAAAGCCGGTTTGCTAGGCTCTTTCTTTGCATCCAAAACTGACCCTCGGCGACGGTGAAAACACACCGGCGACCATCCCGCGGTGTAAGTGCTCCATGCCGGGTATGTGGTTCACACAGCGCTCGGTTCGCAAAGCACTCCTCTCCCTGGACATCCACAAGTCGAGTGGGCATGACGGAAACCGCCCAATTGTGCTGATGACGTGCGCTCCAGAGTTGGCACCGGTTCTAACGCGTCTTTTCCGGTACTCCTACTCCCTAGGCGTAGTCCCGAAATCATGGAAGACGGCTTTCGTCCACCTGATCTCTAAAAAAGGCGACCGCTCAGATAAGTCTAACCACAGGCCTATAGCCATCACTTCCTTTTCTCTCTCCCTTCTTTCTTGTCCTCCAAATTAATGGAATCCATTGTAAACTGCCAGCTTATGCGGTACCTTGAGGATCACCAGCTGATTTGTGATCGCCAATACGGTTTTCGTCGAGGTCGATCAGCTGGTGATCTTCTGTTCTACCCGACTCATATATGGGCGGAGGCAATGGAGTCCAAGCGGGAGGCATTAGCCGTTCATTAAGACATTGCGAAGGCCTTTGGTCGTGTTTGGCACAAAGAGCTTCTGTCAAAGATCCCTTCATATAGACTTCCCGAGAAATTGTGCAATTGGATCACTAGCTTTCTTGCAGATCGGAGCATCAAGGTCAACAACAACAAGCCTATTTATGTTGGCGTTCCACAAGGCTGCGCGCATCACCAACGCTGTTGCCTTTACATATCAAAGATATGTTGCAAACCGGTAACATTCATTGCTATGCGGATGACAGCACTGGTGATGCTTTATACAGCGGCACGGCAGTGCCAATATTTCTCGGGAAAACGTCGCCGAGTACCAGAACAAACTTGTGTCTGAAGTCGTTTTTGCTTTACAAAGTCTCGAATTGGGGCGACTAAATCTAGTCCTAGTTTAATCCTCAGAAGACACAAGTTTACACGTTTATTGCTAAAAAGAACCCTACCCTTTTGTCGTATCTCCTCAATTTCAAGATACATTCCTTGTTGCCTCGGTCAGTATCGGAATTCTCGGCGTTGACATATCGAGTGACGTGCAGTTTCGTGGTCACTTGGAAGAGAAGGCCAAATTGGTGTCTACAGCTTGGCGTGCTCAGTAGAGCGGGACAGCGGCGCAGGTTCGGCCTTACATGAAATACGGTACTCATCTCTGGGCCGGAGCTCCCCAGTGACAGCTCCTTCCACTTGACCGCATTCAGCGCAGAGCTACTCGAATCTTCGACGACCGATTGCTTTCCGATCGACCCGATTCATTGGCGCTGCGAAGACATGTTGCATCCTTTTGCATTTTCTTTTGCATCTACCACGGGGAGTGTTCTGAGGAATTGTTTGGATTAATCCCAGTCGTCAAATTTCATGAACGCACATGGCGGCAAAACTCCCGATACCATCCTCACGATTTGGACGCCTGGCGGTGCGCCACTGTAGGTATCACTAGGAGTTTTCTTCCGCAGACAACCTCTGTGGAATAGTTTACCATTGGCGATCCGTCCGATAAGACTTAGGGAACTTCAAGATAAGAGCTTACTTCTTTCTAAAAGGCCTGCAACGCACATGCAATTCTCCTGGTGTTGCAGTTGTTCATGGGCGGCGGTTGTCACTTATAAACAGGTGAGCCACATGTTCGTTTGCCCCCTCTACTATAAAAAAAGATCTATTTTTGTAGACCATTTCATTTATGTATCACTAAGAATTACGCCAGCGTACGCGAATAAAGCAGCTTCAGAGCCCTTTTTTGTCGGTTTTACTTATCAAAAATCATTATTGGCAAACTGAGAGGTGTGGCCTAATGCTAAATTAGGTCACAACTAGCACCTAACACCTAGCACTAGCTATTGCTCATGAATCTCATATACAAAATTTTTCAAATCGGACTGGTAGCAACAGAGTTTAGCGTGTTGAAGCAAACAAAGAAAAACAACTCTACCACTTTATTATATTAAATAGTATAGATTTTATTGAAAAAATTAAAGTTTAGTTTTTGGGGTTACTGAAAGAAATTGTCTTCTCCACCAATATCGTCTATTAACTACATATATATTTATATTCAAACTATTAATTGTAATTCTTTAAAAATACTAGTGTTTCATTGAAACAAATAATATTTTCATAATAAACATAACTTTGAATTTATTCTATAATCGATATAGACAAAACAGAATTTTACCCAATGCAATCTTAAAGTGATGATACATCTCTATCGAAACCCACGCCAGGACGTTAATGATCGATACATACGCGAATGTCTCGGAGAGCCAATTTCATCCGGCCAAGAAAAAATGTGAGTACTTTACTTTGCGTTCCATTCAACTTAATTCATCAGTATAAATTGTAGACACGCAAGGTCTAAAATTTGTTAAATTATTTAGTATAATATAGAATATCGATGTACATGTCTGGTTGTTGCAAAATATATTAAAAACCAATAATCTCAAATATGAAAGACAGAACATCGGATCAGAGGATTCTGAAGCCTCAAATCGACGGAATAAGCTTTGGTCAGTTGTGAATAAACAAACAAGAAGTCTTCGTCAACGATTATATTGCTGCCTGCCGTTTATGAATTACAACTGGAAATTAAGTTAACACTTCAATAAATTAAAAAAAAAAAACAATTTCACAATTGACGTCACGTTCACGCAGTGTAATATCGTAAATTGCTTTGTCATACATAGATAGGAACAACAATCACTTTTAATCATGCTGTGAACTTTGTGTGTTCCCGAATTAGATTTGTATATTTACAACAACTTATGTACTTAAAAATGGCAGTAGGCCCGGTTCACATTTTCAGAAGTGACAAGTGCAAATTTTATTCACACTTATCTTTTATCACTGCCTGTTCACACGCACTAAGCACTTGCCATTTGTCAGTTGCACTTTCCACTCACACTTGTCACTTCTCAAAATGTAAACCGGGCCTTATGTGTAGTTGATATTTTACCGTCCCTCGTTGTTTATTTATTTGTTTGTTATATTTATCTTTTCTCCGTGTACAAAACGAGTACTGTATAGAAAAAAAAGTATGGTACGGCTGTATATATATATATATATATATATATATATATATATATATATATATATATATATGTATATATATATATATATACAGCCGTACCATACTAACTTCGTTGTGGATAGAACTAGAGAAATCTGAATTTTCAGAAACCAAGCAGTCATTGTATAGACACGGTATATTTCAAATTTCATTCAATTTGATTTTTGTCACTCACTGACCGATCATCAAAACTAAGGCACTTCTAGCAGACATAGAAGCTTCAACCTTAGAACACAAAGTAGTGTATAAATCAAGTAAAAACTAAAATATTTTTCAATTTCAGTCCAGTTTTCTAGCTTTCACACTAACTTCATAAAAAACTTTATAATCTAAAAATATTTATATGGGATTACAAAGTTTTTTATGAATGTTACATTTGCAGTCACTGAATCAGTGTACCTGTATATGTATAATATAATGGAATAAAAGGTGTAGATAGGTACTTTGTGGGTAATCGATCTTTTTAATCGCACTAAGCAATCGAAGTTAATATAATATGTGTTACTTGTGATACATTGTGTTTTCATGCGATGGCCAAGTCAATCTATTTATTTAAAACATAAAAGATTTTTACTATTGATATGGTCACAACAAGATATTGTTCTGTTAGCTAATTACGTAATAACTTAAGACAGAAGGACTCTTAAGTAGGGACTGAATAAATTAACTGACTTGGTATTACATGGATCTCACGACTTTTTGCGATAGACAAAACTGAGTTGCAAGACTTAGTTTTTTTTACAAGTTATGTTTTTGATGGCATATATATTACATAAAAAATATTAATCCACATCAATCTTAAAAACTGCTTTCAACATCGTTACTCTACTCCAAACTGAATTCTCTGAACGTACCTTCCTGAACGCGAGATCGTCTCTTCGACTCATCATCACTTCCACAACTTGGCAAAGTTTCGTCTTTATATGCACCGAAAGCACCGTCATGTCTAAATGACGCACATACCTTCAAAACAGAAAAATTTAAAACATTTATAATAATATTATTTTAGGGAAGATTTTACTAACTACAATAATCATCTAAAGTTATTATATACTTAAAAATAAGATTTTATTAATATCGACTATTTAAAAAATTCCTTTTTACCTGACTATAGCCAACATTAGGCCCTCGATAGAAGTAGTACTAAGATGTTCTGCAGGTTGGCCAGTCTTTTTGTTATCTAAAATGCTCTTCATTATAAATATAGTGTGCTCCACGAACTGCGTATTAATTTCCGTTAGCATCACCTGCGGCGAGTAACATAACTGTCTAATAACGGATATAATTTAATTTGGGTACGAATCACAACTAAAATAACAATTTGGTGTATTAATTGAAACATAGATTCGGTTGTATATATGATTGTATTATTTAACACTAAAGTCACAAAAGTATTAGTTACACTCCATGTGATACGAAGTAGCTACTGCATAAAGCGGACACCTGCAGTCAACTTTAAACAAAGATTAACCAGATGCGTTTTTACCTTTGTCTGAGGACTTAGATGAACTTATATTACTCACAACCTATTGTAATACTGGCTCTCCAAACGTTACGTAAACCAGAACACATATTTTAATAAATACGTTGTTTTATCTACTTTATTTTTTATTCTTATCACTAACCCACATAATGACAAAACTAAATACACTATCGATAACGCTTATCGACAACAATAATGCGCATCACTATGCTCACTCCTAAGGCCCGTGAGTGAGAGAGAGAGAGAGCGAAATACTCCGATGATTTATGACGGAAAATGGACATGGACATAATAATTCTAGTATATTCTTTCGCAAAGCTTCGACAGGATAGGCAAGACAGAAATAGGCCTATAATTTTCTAAGTCTTTCTTGGATCCTCCTTTATATACAGGAACGACTCTGGCTGTTTCCAGATATTAAGAAAGACTCCATCACAAATGAATCATCGAAGGCAGGCGCCTTCAATGATTCATTTGTTGTTATCGATAATGACGTTGAGCCCGCGTAGCATGCTCTAGCCGCGCTGACGCCGAACTATGATTTATGACCCCAACAGCAGGGACAAAATAATTTTACTATAGTACATAAAGCTATTTACCCATGTTAGCTCCTTTTTACAGCAACAACATGGATTCGTTGAACGTCGTTCCTTGATAACTAATCTATTTATTTATAAAACGGATCTCTTTGAAGGATTAGATGCAAAGAAAAAGATTGACAGCGTGTATACCGCTACTATTCGTATTATTTATTAACGATATTGTGGCCGTAGAAGGAAAATGGGAGATCTCCCGCCGGGCAAGGTGTTATGCCCGGGGAGCGGCCGACACTCCGTGTAATAGTTCGGAGATGTTCTATATATACTGTTTATGATTCGGAATGTTGATAGCACGATTTAGGCTTCGGTGTGTTTCGCTTGTGGCGCGACGACAGCGCCGCTACAATATTAATAAATGTTTTGATCACTATAAGTTTCTTCTCTACGCAGACGATTTAAGAATTTACAAGACTATTAACACTTCAGACGATCGTGTTAAACTCCAAAATGATATGAATCACCTATCTTTCTACTGCAATGAAAATAAACTTGAACTTAGCATTATTAAATGTAAATCTATAACTCACAAAAAAGAGGATTGTTAGTAATTATTTTTATTCACTTTGCGGAATAACCTTAAGAAAGAAAAACACTATTAAAGATCTTGGAACGCACGCCACACGCACGCACGCACGCACACACACGTATTAATACCTAGTTAACTAACAACATCAAAATTATTATAATGTAAGATGAGCTCCATTTTAACACTAAATTATATGCACGATGAGACCAGCGCTGTTGCATTCATAATAAAGTTATGTTCGTTTGTTTTTAATTTTTATATATAATTAATTGTGAATCTGATTGTGGTCCTTTAAATAAATGAAAAAAAAATGAAGTAGACTGAAGACTGCTAAAAATTACCTGTTGTTGTTGGTCGAAAAACTTATCGACGATGGCTTTAATTTGGTCAAAAAGTATAGGATAGAGGGCAGGTGACATCTCGTGTCCCACAAGTTCTTTGACGTGCGTTTGTATTTGTTGCCCGAAACGCTCGTTGGTGCATAGCAATAATCGCAAAAGTTGCCCTATAAACCTGCAAAATGAAAGTGATCGATTTATCATTATTATTTTATAATGGATAATCATTCGAAAGAATTATAATTATCTACATTATTATGTGAACTTATTTGTCAGACGGATGTCTACACAGTGTCATAATAATTAAAAAGTTGAGTTTTAAATAAAAGATTACCGGTTTCTCTCGGTATATGTTTATACACAAATTAAATTATGTGTCCACACAGTGGTGTACCCTTTAATTTCTTACACTATAACTCTTTTATTATTCTTCCATTTTTAGGAATATATCCGTTATTCGGTTCATTATCTAACTAAATAATAATAAATATAACTAACATTTCAATAATAAACATTAATCTTTACACTTCTCTAACAATTTAAGTTCCCCGCCATGTGATGTCAAATATTTCACCTAATTCTAAAGTGGCGCCGCCCTGGTGGCAGAAAAAATTGTGGGAGCACTCATTCATAACTAGGGATTGCCAACCGTGGATTTCGCAGTCATTTGAAGTCGACCGAATGGTCAGTACAAAATAAACAGAATTCGAGTACGACTGCTGGCCGATAATCGGTATAAATCGCTTTTATTGAGATATGTTATACCCGTTAATCAAAGAGAAATAACTTACTGTGTAACCGGACAGTACTGAACTTCTTGTGAGCTATTTGCTAAAACATTGTATTTTCGTGTGTCTGTAACAAAAAATAATACGCCATAAAGCTGAAAATGTAAATTATAATATAATGATTCAATATAAAAACGCAATACACACCGTGTCCATGTAAATGTGACCAGATTGTTGACGGTCGGCGCTGAAGACACACACCCCCCAATGCGCACAGAAAGGAGGTTATGTTCGCCCACTCTTGGATTTGCATCTGAAAATAAAATGATTTCAGTAAGTATTACTTACGTGGTAGAGCCACGCTGCAGCTATATTATAGTTGTAGCACGAATGGGTCGGCTCGACAGGAGAAGGACCACGCTCTCATAGTATACCAAGATAAAATAGCAGCGTAATCCTGCTGTGTTTCATATGGTGAGTGTAGAGAACCGAAGACCCTTTTTACTGGAAACGAGGCATTCCATCTTAGTCCTCAGGGGAGACAAATGTATTTGCATTTTTATCCTTAATTGACGATAAATGTGGATATCTATAGGCCACAGCATCCAATTACCATCAGGTGGACTGCTAAATAGATGCGATCAAATACCTACATACGAATAAATTGTTATAACATGTTTTTATTAAATCCTAATTTTGTATCATTGAAATTTTCAATAGTTTTTAATCTCTGGATCAATCTTCTGGATACGTATCATTACTACATACTGTATGCAAAAAAAAGCCTAAAAAAAAAAAAAAAAAAAAACAAAAGAAAAGTAAAAAACTATTTCCCACAAAAAAAAAAAAAAATCATATGTAAAAAGTATATTTGAAAATTATATCAATATTCGATATCATTTCTTGTTGAAAATTTGAGTAGCAAGTATTAAACAAATACAAACATATTTTTCAAACCAATGAAAATACTTTTTAAAATTTATAGAAAATATCAAAAAAGTGCTTTGAAAATTTCGACAAAACACGAAAGTCGGCAAATGTCTACTAGATCGTTTAATGATTACGAATGTGCTAATTGTTATGGCCTAGATGAATTTCTTATAAATGTTACAATAACAATAAATAAATGTTACAAATACAATAACAATAACAATACATTTTATAATCCTGTAAACACTATTTGATTTATTAAACGAAGTAAGTAGCGCCTTCTTAATAGACCAATAATCTTTAGTTACTTTTGTATTCGTTGCAATCGTATTGCAATTTGTAGATAATAATCAACGTAGGCAAACAGGCCAACTCTTTTAAAAGGCAATCAATAATAAAGAAATACTAATTTAAAGATCTATATGAATACTAGCTTTCGCCAGCGTGTAATTCGGTCATGCCGCGTTTTCTATGGTAAATGTTGAGGATAAAAGGTAGCCCAGCCTTTTTAATGTTTCCAGCTATCTGAATACTAAATATCAATACTTTAGTATTTATTATTTAGTAGAAGTAATTGAGGTGCTGTCAACTCTTAAATCATAAAATAGTAAATATTATTAAAATATTTCAAAAATATATAAATATAAGTTTTATGTATTTATATATTATTTAAAACTGGTGGTTACCGGTTACCGGTAAATCATTAAACCAGACTACGTCCCTAGATGTGACACAATTATCTTAATATATATAAATTACGAGTCACGTTGTTTGTCCGCGATGGACTTCTAAACTACTTAACCAATTTAAATCAAACTTGCACACCGTATGCAGTTTGGTCCAACTTGAGAAATAGGATAGTTTTTTTGCCCATGAGTGACCCACACTTTTTCTTTTGCTAATTTAAAGATTTTTTTAATAAGGTAAAACAAAAGGTTGTCGAAAAGGGCAGAACAAGTCATTTCACAAACATTTTACTTAAAATAAGAAAAAAGTAATACTTACCACCATAGTATATTCTAATTTTATTACAATTAGTTTGCACACTATTTACAAATAAATATGTATTAAAATTCAAACGATTTCGTTTTTTCGAATGATGGATCATGAACATCGATCAAAAGTCTAAAATATGCAATTTCGCTCAGTATGTCAATACAGTTATTCCTTCTTTATTATTAGTAAGAAAGGGTCTATTAAGATTCGTTGTGAGTCCGTTGTTGTTGCCGTAGAATAAAGTCAGATTTTACGTATATTAAAATGCGTTTGTGACATTTATTTATTGAAATTTGTGTGACTAATGAGGGAATTGGATTTGTAGCAGTGATAATACGATGTAACCGCTTGCATGTGTGCTTCCAGCGACATCGGTTCTCGTACAAAATAGGGTTGGCAGACACTCTATTGTATATTATTGTATTTTATGCTTAACACAAATTAAAACTATTTAATTAAAACGGGAGCTACACTACAAAACACGTCCAATTATTAAAATATATAGAAGTTGATGAACGTCAATGGCTCATGGACAACGCTTTGTAACAATCTCTGATAGACTTGTAAGTTCAGCTCCGATAGGCTCCAATTGTAATGACGGGCGGTTTATAACGAGGGTAATAATCTTCCACCCACCATATATCGACAGTATGTACTTACATAAAAATATATCGCTAGTTAAGGTGAAGTTTTTTGTTACACAATGTCATTTAATTGAGTTGATTTTAAATAAAAGTGTATTAGTTTCTAGAGTATGATAGTAATACACAAAACAATGCATCAGTGGTTTACTCTTTAATATTTTTTCACATTTTAACTCTCTTTTTAATTTTTTTACTTTTAGTAATATCCGTGGTTTGGTTTATTAATTTCTAACCCCATTAATATAAAATACAACTAATATTCCTAACAAATTAACTTCCTTGACTGCCTCGTTGGTCTAGTGGTTGTAGTAGTGAGACTGCTGATCATGAGGTCCTGGATTTGAATCCCGGGTCGGGCCAAAAAGTTAATTATTGAGTTTTTCCGTCAAGAAATTCTCAGTAGCTGCCCGGAGTCAAGAAGTTGGCGGTGTCTCACCCCCGTGCCTCGGAAAGCACGTAAAGCCGTTGGTCCTGCGCCTGATCTCTCGGTCGTGTCGGTTTACCGTCCCATTGGATTATGATACATACACTTGGCCACTATACTCCTGTCCAGCGCAGATGGCTAGCCTCCGCTGAGGCAGGCCGCCGTGGCCGAAATTCGGTCTGGAGGACATTATTATTATTATTATTATAACTTTCTTGCTGAAATCTGTCAAATATTTCACCTTATTTATAAATTTTGGCGTGCCCTGATAGCAGAACAAGTAGTGGATGTTTAGTGTTTACCTCGAAGTCGTGTTCGCTGGCGGTGTGGTGCGACACGCGGCGCTTGGGCACGGCGCGGTGCAGCGGCTCGGGCGGCTCGTCGGCCGCCGCACCCGCACCGCCCGCTCCCCCCCGCGCCCGCACCGCCTGACCCCTGCCCCTTCGGGTACTTCTGCAGCAGCTTGCACAGCGAGTCCCTGCGCCGCAACCACAAACAACACTTACACAATGCCTTCCAATATAATAATATAATAATAAATAATTTTTTTTCGAAACTTTGTAAATATTATTAAGAAAAATTTAAAAAAAAAAATGCCAATTAAGAAGTTTGGCATTATAAAATCTATACAAAATTCTCTCTCCTGTGCTCTAAACAAAAGTCAAGTTTTACTTCATTACAAAAAGATTTTATTGTATTTTGATAACAAAAAAACATACCAAGTGAATGTCGGCAGAGTAAAAATTTTAATTGTTTTAATATATATTACTCTTTTTTTTATAGGAGAGGGGGGCAAACGAGCATGCGGCTCACTTGATGTTAAGTGACTACCGCCACCCATGATCATCCGCAACACCAGGGGAATTGCAGGTGTGTTGCCGGCCCTTTAGAAAGGAGTACGCTCTTTTCTTGAAGGTCCCCAGGTCGTATCGGTCCGGAAAAATCGCTGGTGGTAAACTATTCCACGGAGAGGTTGTACGCGGAAGAAAACTCCTCTTGAAACGTACAGTGGTGGACCGCCAAGCATCCAGATGGTGCGGATGGTATCGGGACGTTTGCCGCGTAGTGCGTTCACGAAATTAGGCGGCTGGGATTAATCCGAACAATTCCTCAGAGCACTCTCCATGGTATATGCGAAAGAAAATGCAAAGAGATGTAACATCTCTTCGCAGTGCCAGTGAATCGAGCCGATCGGAAAGCGCTCGATCGTCGACGATTCGAGCCGCTCTGCGCTGGATGCGGTCAAGTGGAAGGAGCTGGTACTGGGGAGCCTCAGCCCAGAGATGAGAACAGTATTCCACGTGCGGTAGAACCTGCGCCTTGTAAAGTTGCAGACGGTGTGCCGGCATGAAATACTGTCCCGCTCTGCCGAGCACGCCAAGCTTTTTAGAGGCCAATTTGGCCTTCTCTTCCAAGTGACCACGAAACTGCACGTCACTCGATATGTCAACGCCGAGGATTCAGATACTGGCTGAGGCAACAAGGGGAGTGCCTTAAAACTGAGAAGATACGACAAAGGGGTCTTTTTAGCGGTTAACGCGCAAACTTGTGTTTTCTGGGGGTTAAACTGGACTAGATTTAGTCGCCCCCAATCCGAGACTCTGTTCAGCAAAGACTCGACTTCAGACACAAGTTTGTCCCGGCACTCGGAGACGTTTTCCCGAGAAATATTGGCTCGGCCGGTGTAAAGAGCATCACCAGTGCTGTCATCTGCATAGCAATGAATGTTACAGGTTTGCAACATATCATTGATATGCAGAAGAAACAGCGTTGGCGATAGCACGCAGCCTTGTGGAACACCAGCATTAATAGGCTTGCAATAGGAGCTTGCACCGTCTACAACGACCTTGATGCTCTGATCTGCAAGAAAGCTAGTGATCCAATCGCACAATTTCTCGGGAAGCTCATAGGAAGGGAGCTTCGAAAGAAGCGCTTTGTGCCAAACCCGATCGAAGGCCTTCGCAATGTCCAAACTAGCGGCCAATGCCTCCCCCTTGGACTCTACTGCCTCCGCCCATCTGTGAGTTAGGTAGCCCAGAAGATCACCAGCTGACCGACCACGGCGAAAACCGTATTGGCAGTCACTAATCAGCTGGTGATCCTCAAGGTACCTCATGAGCTGGCAGTTTACAATGGACTCCATTGTTTTGGAGAACAAGGAGGTGATGGCGATAGGCCGGTAGTTGGACGTTTTGAATGAAGGGCATTCTATATCTCATTTGAAGTATATTTCATTATCATACTATTCCATTTTTATGTAGGTATATTTGTGGAAAAAAAATTATCTAGAGTTACATCACATTTTGATACATCACAAATCGTAAAAATAAATAAACACACTCCACGATTGTAGTGTTCCAACCCCAACAGCTACCTCTCTCGACACCCATCAGATGACATGGGATAACTTTTTTTTATACGTCACCACTCGACGTAATATAATATAGTTTTTATTATTTATGACCTTGTTTTAAATATTGTAAAACACTTAAAAATAGCATTGTCTTGGTAGACATTACTTACCAACATCGAAATGTTTCTTCCCAAACAGGCTGTACACCATTTACGCAGTGTTCTATTTTTCTTAGCAATGCCATTATGCGCTTCTGCAAAGCGGCGGAACCTAATGCATAAAAATTAATATTCTTAATAAAAAATATCCTTAATTACGTAAAATAATCTTAATTAGATCTATTTAAACACTTGTTATGGCTGAGCTCTAATGTGGTACGCCCCTAAGTTGTTATAGTCTGTGTACTCTCATGGAATCTCAAACTGTGCGACACTATAGGCTCTGGTCATGGGAACGAAAGCTAGCCAGAATGTCCTCTCATTAAATTTGTTTCGATACTTCTTGTGATTAACTAACGGACATTGTCTGATTACTTCTAATTTATAATAACCAACGTACACAACAAGGGGTGTATTTAATAATTGTACCTCTTACCCCTAATTTTTCTTATTGTATTTTAATATCTTACTGTTCGCAGTCTTTAGTGTGAAGATAAATAATTTGTTATGTATATGTAAGGAAGGTAGTTAAATAGAATTAATTTACAATCACAAAATACACGGATCACAGGTAATCAACTATAAATTGTACTGAGACTAATTTAATAGCTGATAATAATAATTAATTCGTTTCCACGCAGTAATTATCCGAATAGCCTAGGATGAGCTAGTAGCGGGATACAACAAGTGAACCGTGCCACGCCAGAGCCATGACTGCCTTAACGGCGGCTGCTCCGTCCGTTTTATACAATCGAGACAAGTAGCTACACGAGTGCCACTGCAGGTGCCATGCGCAGGTGTGCGGTGCACGTGTTGTTTACAATGATTCCGACTAGCCACAGAGGCGCTGCTCATACCGACTACCTATCCTATCTAAAAAACTATCCTATCTCTCATTGACCAAATTCACACTGTAAATTTATAAAACGTTACTACTTTACAATAATTCCGACTACCCACAGAGGCGCTGCGACATATACATTTCTCAACATTTGTTTTACGAAAATTTTATACATATATAACCAATAAACTACCCTAATATTATCCTTCTATATTTAAAAATATAAACAATAGATAGATAGATAAATAAATTTTCATTGCATTTAAACTAAAATTCTTGCAATAACAAAAAACTTATAGTACCTACAGTCGGTTTAATTATCATTCCATAGTTTGAATATGTTGCTATAATACGCCTTAATCTGCGAGTAACAATATTGTTATATGATTTAAATAGCATTTGCTTTGTTGTGCATGGTCTGTTATTTAAATCCTAGTTTTGTCAAAATAGTTACATGTGACTGGACTTGCTTTGTAGGGGCGGTTGAGAATATCCACTACCCCATATCTTCCCGTGGGTGTCGTAAGAGGCGACAGAGGGAGACAGGCAGGAGATGGGCAGCAGCATCTTCCTGATAACAACAATAACATAATAAAAAACTGCGGTTGCCAACCCGCTCGCCAAGCGTGGCAACTATGGCAAATATCCCCCCATGAGCAATGACGCAAATAAACGGCCCCCAGTCCCCGGCGGCCCCGCTATTCCTGGATACGGTGGCGACCATGGTAACGGCAAGGCAGGGGGTGCTAAGAATCTCCGGTGGAGGTTCGGTTGCCACCTACGACGACTCGACCTGGCAACGTATAACGCACGCACCCTGAGGACTGACGAGAAGATACTGGAGCTGGAAGAAGAGGTAGACAAGTTGCGCTGGCATATTATTGGATTATCTGAGGTCCGAAGAGAGGGGGAGGACACGGTAATCCTCGAGTCCGGCAACTTGTTCTATCACCGGGAGGGCGACCATCTGTCCCAAGGAGGTGTCGGATTTATCGTCTACAAGTCTCTCGTCAACAACGGTGTAAAGATTAGGAGTGTGTCGACGAGGGTGTTCAGTGATGTCTCAGTGATCGCAAGGGTGAAAACCGGCAGCGATCACCGAATGGTTGGAGGCACACTGAACCTAAACGTTAAGTTGGAGAGGTCTCGTCTAATGAAGTCAACGCTCCGTCCCCCTCGTGCTCTAATCCAGAATCCCGAGACTTTTCAGCTCGAGTTACGTAACCGCTTTCAGTGCCTAGAAGATTGCAATGAAGTGGACGATATGAATGACAAGCTCGTGGAAACTGTCCATGCGGTCGGAGCTAAGTTCTGCAAGACCCGCCGCAGAAGAACACAAAAACTCTCCGATCACACTCTTAATCTCATGGCTGTTGGACGGGAGGTGAGGCTGCAATCGTCAACAGATTTGACAGCATACAGGCAACTGAACAGACAGATCTCCAAATGCATGCGGCGAGACTTACGCAACTTTAATACTGCTCGTATTAAAAAGCGATCGAGCGGAACCAGGGCTCCAAAGTCTTTGCCAGAGATCTGTCTGCCAGAAAGAGCCAACTGTCAAAGCTGAAGACTGAGTGTGGCAGCATCGTTTTCGGGACACCTGAGATTTTGAGTGAGATTGAGAGGTTCTATGGGCAGCTGTACACATCATCGTTGGAGCCACACGCAAGTGTGAGTAACGATCCAAGAGCAAGTCTTACCCGGCACTATTCCAATGATAATCCCGGACGTCAGTCTGAGCGAGATTAGAATGGCTCTCCAGCACCTTAAAAACGGCAGGGCCCCAGGCGAGGACGGAATTACAGCGGAGCTTCTGAAAGCGGGTGGAACACCGGTACTTAGTCCTTCGGAAGCTCTTCAATTTCGTCCTCCATGGTGGCACTACTCCCGAGGCGTGGAGCAGAAGTGCGGTGGTCTTGTTCTTCAAGAAAGGCGACAACGCTCTCTCGAAGAACTACAGACCGATTTCCCTTCTGAGCCGCGTCTACGTGCTGTTTTCGAGAGTCATTACGAATCGTCTCGCACGCAGACTCGACGACTTCCAGTCTCCCGAACAAGCCGATTCCTGAAAAGGCTTCAGTACCATAGACCACAAGTGCAATCTGCCACTTTGCCTGGCGTATGTGGACTATGAGAAAGCCTTTGATTCCGTCGAAATTTGGGCGGTGCTACAGTCCCTTCAGCGGTGCCAAGTTAACTGTCGGTATATCGAAGTGCTGAAGTGTTTGTACAGTAGGGCTACGATGGCTATCCGAGTACAGAACCAGAGTTCGAAACCTATCCAACTGCAGAGAGGTGTAAGACAGGGTGACATTATATCCCCGAAACTCTTCACCGCTGCGTTGGAAGACGTTTCCAAGCTACTGGACTGGAAAAGATACGGTATTAACATCAATGACGAGTACATCACTCACCTTCGATTTGCCGACGATAAGGAACTTAGCACTATGCTCAATGACCTCAATGGTGTCTCCCAACGGATAGGTCTTAAGATGAACATAGACAAAACAAAGATCATGATTAATGTCCATGTCACACCTATGCCGGTAGTTGTTGGGAGCACTATGCTCGAAGTTGTTGACGAGTACGTTTACCTGGGACAAATAGTCCGACTAGGTAAGTCCAACTTCGACCGAGAGGTCAATCGACGGATTCAATTTGGCTGGACAGCGTTCGGGAAATTACGACACATTTCGTCAGGTATACCTCAATCTCTGAAAACTAAAGTATACAACCAGTGCGTGTTGCCAGTGATGACTTACAGATCAGAGACGTGGTCCTTCACTGCTGGCCGTGTGAGGACGCTCAAGAACGCTCAGCGAGCTATGGAGAGGGCTATGCTCGGAATTTCTCATATCCGCGGTAAAACCACAGTGACCTACATAGCCCAACGGATTAGTAAGCGGAAGTGGCAATGGGCCGGCCATATAGCTCGAAGAACCGATAACCGATGGGGAAGAAAGGTTCTCGAGTCAGCCTCGTACCGGTAGGCGTAGTGTAGGGCGATCCCCCTCTAGATGGAGTGACGACCTGGTAAGACATGCAGGAAGTCGATGGATTCAGGTGGCTCAGGACCGTGCTTTGTGGCGTTACTTGGGGGAGGCCTATGTTCAGCAGTGGACTTGTGAAGGGCTGTAATGATGATGATGATGATGATGATAACTGGACTTTGGCTAAGCAATTTTACTGATTATATATCGATCGATTTCTATTAATATTAATTATTTAAATATGGAATCTTTTTTTTTTTTTTTTTTTGCGGATGGAAAATCATCTAATGACCCCTTTCGCTCTGGGTGGAGCGTAAGGGAGTGTCAGACTTTTACTGACTAAAAACCATCCGTGTTCCTTCAGTGCCCTTACGTTCCGGAGCCGCGGTATCTCTTTCGAATAGCCCGCAGCCCCGGCAGGCGTCGGCCCTTGCGGGCCCCATCACGCTGCTGACAGCTCTTTGAGGCGCGCGTGGGACAAAACGCGCCGTCGACACGGCCGTCCTCACCTCCCTGAATCACTTGAGAAATTGGCAGGCTCCGAAATCGCATGCGGCACTGCCCTTCTGCACCCTTACGTGTGCACTCTTGCGCGATTCCAGGGTTCTTTGACCGTAGCCCTACCTCCGAGAGTGTAAATTCCGGAAGCCCCCACAGCTCCACGCCTTTACTAAGGGGGATGTAGCGTGGTAACAGTCAACACAACAGAGTATTATAAGCGCACACCATATAGAGCGAGACATTAAGCGGAACCACGACCAATCCGTCCGTGGCTACCTAATTGTTAAATTTTTACTCCTGGTAATACAACTTTATTCTGTGACACTAATTATTTATATTCTAGTCTTTTCATTTTATATATTTAAGTAAACTATATACCTACTTACCTACCCAAATAAACCCACAATGTCACCCCAAGTCTTCTAAAGGAGTATTTTAAAACATAAGTGTTTAAGATAAATGATTTTTTTTTTTCATACAATTTATATTCATTACTTTTAAACGATATATATTCATTGTAATACTTACTGTGTATATTTTTATAATAGCAGCCTCTTCCCATATCCTGACTGGCTGCTTGAAAAACGCAATAAGTCCTTTTATAGCACAGTGTAACTTAATGTGCATCCAGTATATTTTTTGTTTAATACAGTGACGAAAGACTACTAACATCATCATCAGGCCACTATAATTAAATACTACAACCAATTACTATCACTGACTGAGAAATGATGATGGGCAGTGTAAGGTGTTACTAGTGGAGAACTAATGAAATAATAATAATAATAAAAACTTTATGCGCATTTTTAGTATGTTCTTGATTTGAAGGGATGATATTAGTTAGATCCTTTTTAGATTTAGATTCAAGAAAATTTTGTAACGATGTTATGTACAAAATAAAATACCTGGAAGAGTAAAATATTATGTACCCATCAGATTAATCGATTGAGGAGACTGAAGAGACAAGATTTATTCGAATGATAAAATTTCATCATTCATTCAACAAAACTCAGTTTCCTAGGCAACACTTATATTAAGTTTATAAAAAAAATGTATTTATTGACACATTCATCTGACTTATACATATGTTGAGTGCAGGCACTAAGTGTGAGAGATACCTGTGGTGAGTACTGTGGAGGTGTGTGCGATCTCCTGAAAGACCGCGTAGTTTGGCAGCAGGCACTGCGTGCTGATCTCGTCGGAGCCGCAGCGGATGTCCGCCTCCTGGCACAGCAGCGCGAAGCACGACATCGCTACCAGCACCACGTCCGTGTCGATCGACCACAGGCACATGAAGAACACCACCTGCGCAACAATTCAGCCTTGTTAAAACATTAACATCACACCTCGGTTGCGCAGTGACTAAACGTTTAGCTGCAGCACTGCGAGACTTCAGGTCGAATACTGCGCAAAACAAGTATTTATACGTGGTAGTCATGTTGCAGCTATATTATGGTTGTAGAAGAGCCGTGGTAGCTCAGTGGTTAAAGCTCGCTGTAAATATAACAGAACGCGAGTAACCCGGGTTCGATCCCCGCCGGCACCAATGAAATTGTTAATTGCAATTTTAAGTGCTGATTTACCACGTGCTCGGCGGTGAAGGAAAATATCGTGAGGAAACCTGCATGTCCGAGGAATAAAAAAAAATATTTCGAAGACATGTGAAGTTCGTCAACACGCATTTGGGCAGCGCGGCGGACACTTCCTTGCCCTAAACCCTCTCAGAAATGAGGGGAGGCCTGAGCCCAGCAGTGGGACGTATATAGGCTGTAACTTTACTTTACTTACTTTTATGGTTGTAGCACGTATGGGTGGGCTCGACCGGGGAAGGACCACGATTTCACAGAATACCACGTTAGCCATACTGCTGTGTTTCGTATGGTGAGTGTAGAGATCCGCAGACCCCTTTTTTACTGGAAACGAGGCATTCCATCTTAGTTCTCAGGGGTGACAACGCATATGCGTTTTGATTCTTAATCGAGGATAAATGTGGATGTCTATGGGCCACAGCATCCACTTACCATCAAGTGGACTGTGTGCTCATTTGTCACCCTTATTCTATAAAAAAAAAGTGTTTGTACTTTGTTTGGCCTACGATTAATTGTACCAGATTTTGAAGTTTGTTCATGTTTAATTTATAAATGATGGCGTTATGTTTAATACATTTGTGGCGGCGCTGTTGTCGCGCCACAAGCAAAACACACCGAAACCTAAATCGCGCTATCGAAGGTTCGAATCATAAACAGTATATATAGAACAACTCCGAACTATCACACGGAGCGTTGGCCGCTCCCCGGGCAGAACACCTTGCCCGGCGGGAGATCTCTCCATTTCCCTATCTTTAACTTACAAAATTAAACACGCTTTAAAGTCCTAGCTTTAGGAGCGGTAACGTCGCAATAGTTTGCTAGTACGCTCTTTCGCTATGACGCGACACCGCGTCATTAGAATTTATACGACTATTGGGATAAATCGTCGAAATGGCAATGCCGCTCTCTTTATTTTGGAAGTATAGTTTATTGACCCCTATCTACCTTCAGCGCGTAAAAAGTGATGTTTTTTACATCACGAAACGTTTAAATAACACTAAAAAGATATAATTTTTTTTGGTTAAACTACTGAACGTATTTTTTGTGTACCATAATAGAACGTGTTATAGAGTTGCTGGTATCATTTAATGTGTATAACGCAGCGCAATCCTGTATATTTTAAATGCCTCCACTAAGCATGAGAAATCATTTATAACGATTTTTTTAAATATTCTTTTTTTAAGGATGATTCTTATAAAGGGAAACCCTCTTTACAGAGGCAACTCTTTAATACCAATTAAAACTACCACCTAAGTCACCCTATCAATGACATCCATCAGTTATGCATTTAGACTAACAGAGTCGAAGCCGTGAGGATGAGAATTTATGTTATACGGTACAGAGAGAAGTATTTATGTTATACGGTATTAAGATATTTTTGTATACACTTGCGTGAACATAAGTTTCGTGGAACATGTTCTCATAGCCACCAACAAATGAAAATAGAAAATCTCCAGAAACAGCCACGCAGGCAATGTCAAATACGAAACTTTTGATGACCTTGCATAACGATTTAGAAAAACATCAGTCGCCTGCAAACGGGCTGATAACAGTGTGTTATACTATTTAAGTAAACATCTATAATTAGCACATCGTAAAACAGTAAATCATCAGCGATCCATAAGCATCTCGCCATTTTTTAAAGACTCATAATCTTTTAGAAAAAAAAATCCGTAAGAGTTATGACCGGAAGAGTTGGGAGTGGCAATTGGCACTCACCTCTAGTTTTATATGCGCTTGTTTACAGATGGGTATCTGCGAGCCGACATTGGCATAGTCCTTGTGCTTGGCGAGGAACTCGTTGCGGCAAGTCAGCACGTCACGCAACCACCGCAGCACCTCACGGTAGTTGCCGATCTGACGCTGGATTAGCTTTTGACTTATGTTGTATAGCACTTGAGAACTGAAAGATAACGAGCTCATATTCTACGCTGTCTACAAACAGAGCAAATAATGCTAACTCTTTTCAACTGTTAACAGTTTTTCCTCTCCCAGCATTGACTAGCATAGAACGCCACAAGGCATTAAGTCCACTTATTGTAAGCATTAAGGATTAGAATGAAGAACATTAAATAAATAAGAATAAACAAAATCATATTACCTTTATGATAAGTACATAACATTTGCATATAATATGTAACAATTAAAGGAGCCGGTCCAAATATGTATGAAGCATAGGCCTGGTTTTGTGCAAGTAAAGAAATAAATTAAAATAATATATTACAAGACTTTTGGTCATTCAAATCCACATACTTGCCTTTATTTCAGTGGTATTAATATTTTATTCTTACCAAAAATTGCAGCACTAATGGCGAATGAAGTCGTTTTGAGGTTAGCTGTCAATTGTCATGAGGTTATTGATGCCTAGTGATTCAAAATGTGATTGTCCTTAAAACAAAATCCGAGTCAAACAAGTAATAGCAGATCCAAAGTCCAAATAAAAAAACCAAATCGCCAAAGAAATCCAAAAGAAACGCAATAAACGCATTGACGAGTTCACAACTGCACAAATAAGATCGGAATAAAAAAAATATCACATTACCCACATAATTTCATGACTCATGTCACTTTTCATGACATTTGACATATAATTTTATGACTGGAAAGGCGCCATCTTGTAAAATCATCAAAAATTGGGATTGCATTTTTATTTTTAGCAAGTCATTTAGTTTGATTTATTCTCTTATTTTATTTTTAATAAAATCCTTGAATTTTTCGCTTTTTTACAGTACAGTGTACATAGACTGGGTCTGAAATAGACCGTCTCCTTTCTATAATAATAAATTCATTTGTAAACAATACCTACACACTTCTTAAACGATAGGGAATAAGCTCACCTTATATCCCAAAAGGTGTTAAGAGGTGCTTCCGGATTCCACATGTGTACTCTATCCGGTCTGTGAAGGGCCAACAATGCGTCCATGGCTTCTTGTGAAATTTCACCCATACCGGTGTGATGTACTAAAGACACCAGGCCGTTTATAAGCTCTGTTGTCGATGATTGGATTTCAACACCGGAACGACCTGGATTCTGTAAAAAAATCACATCACTTAACATGCATAGCACAGAGTTTAGTAAAATAAAAGATATACCTAACCTAAAAAACTAACGTGTAAAATGACGACTGTGTGGCCAGTTCCAGTTCCTAGCTTCAGAAACACTTGTTTAAAATCAAAAATTGTTGATTTTTAGATTGAGTTGTCAGCCACACTGCTCTCTAGCCTACATCTAATGGTATCGCAGATACGTTACTTCGCGCAGGGGTAAGATAAAACTAGCGAGTGTCTCTGGATTGGCGTATGTATACCTGTAGTACGAAAATATTTTTTGTGTTTTTGATAGCTTCACATAAGGAAGCAGCTTCAGTCGAAAAATTGGGCAGAGCATGAATAAATTTTTCCATGTGTGAGCATTAAAAAATATAGGACAACAGAGCAAGCGAAAACTCATAAAGGTTAAACCTCTATAAGTCTCATTCATTGCGTTTACCATTCATTAAAGCACTGAAAATCACACATCATGAATAAGCTCATTAATAAAGAAAAAAAAAAGCACTGAAAATCAAATCAGGCCCCTACTACTCTACTATTAAATATATATATATATATATATATATATATATATATATATATATATATATATATATATATATATATATATATATATATAATATTACACTTGATCAAACGAAATGTGCGGACACTAGATAAAATTATCGGTAAAAAATCGAAATTTTTTTTATGTAAACTATTTAAAAAATAAGAGCATTTTAATTTTTTTTTGGTAAAATTCCCATCCTTCGGTTTTAAATTATTTTCTCTTTAAGTAAACGGTGTAATCTTTCAAAGTAGTTTTAATTCAAAGTTAGAAAGATTCCAGACCAGGTAGTGGTCTTATGCCGAATTAGGGGTTTATTCAGACGTTGGCGGCATCGGACATCTGTGTCTACCACTGCGTTATAGCGTATAAGAATTGAGAGGTTACAACATGAAGATGTGAAAGACAAGTACAAAGGTAGACTGAGAGAAAATATAAGTGATTTGGATGAGTTGTGTGTGAATGAGTTAGACTTGGAGAATGTGTGGCATAATGTTAAGAAAGGTTTGGTGGATGCAGCTACCGAAGTATGTGGTGTTAGTAAGAGAACGAATGAAAGGAAAGACAATACGTTATGGTGGGATGATGAGGTACGTACGGAAGTTGAAGCAAAGAAGAGAGCATGGCTAGATTTACTAGCGACCAAAGCTGGTAATTCCAGCGGTACGAATGATGATATTGAAAGAAAAAGGCAGTCTTTAGACATCTTAATAAGAGAGTAAAAGAAGTAGTTTAAAGAAAAAGCAAGAAAGAACGGATAAGAATGATAGAAGAATATCGGATAACTTCCAGGCAAATATTAAAATGTTCTGGAAACTCGAAGAACTGCCAGGGGACATTCAAAACAGCCTTGATTTAATGCTATAAGAGACGAGAATGGCTGCATTCTGAAAGATGAAGTGTTGAGTCTAAAGAGATGGAAGGAATATTTTGAAAGCGTATTTATGAGTGAGGAGACGTGTGAACTAAATGAAATAGAAATTTCGAAAGAAGATGAAAGAGGTAGGGAGATAAGTATAGATGAAATAATGAAAGCAATTAAAAGCATGAAAGTAGGTAAGGCAGCCGGATATGATAGAGTTTCACTCGAAATGCTAAGGGCTGGAGAGGACGTGGTGGCAGGCCTGCTGTACACCTTGTTTAATTTATATTGGGAACTAAAGCGGGTGCCGGGAGACTGGTGCAAAGCCGTGATAGTCCCAATATATAAGGGAAAAGGGTCACAGCAGGACTATAAAAACTACCGTGGCATCAGCCTTCTTAGCATTGTGGGAAAACTGTATGCTAAGGTACTGATTGAAAGAGTCATGAAAGAAACTGATGAAAAAATTTGGGATGTGCAACGGCATTTGAAAGGGAAGACAGATCAAGTTTTTTCCATGCGCATGATCGCGGAGAAGTTTTTGGCGAAAAACCAAAAATTTTTCTGTGCGTTCATGGACTTGGAAAAGGCTTATGACAGAGTGGATAGGGATGTGTTATGGCAAACGCTGAACGCATTGAGCGCTGGTTTAATACAGACATTAAAGTCTCTGTATAGGGACTCGAGTGCTTGTGTTAGAATCAACGGGGTCTACTCGGACTGGTTTGGCATCCATATAGGTGTCAGACAGGGCTGTGCAGCATCCCCGTGGCTGTTCAACCTATTTATGGACAGTTGTTTGGAAAATTTTAAAGTTGAAGAATGCGGGTTAAGAATGGGTGAGTTAACCATCAAATGCCTTTTGTACGCCGATGATCAAGTCATACTTGCGTCGTCGGCGGCCGAGTTGCAAATGATGGTTACATTAATGAACAGGTCATTAAAAGAAAGGGGAATGAAAGTGAACGCAAGTAAGACGAAAGTGATGGTTTTTGAAAGAGAAGAAAGCAAAACGGTATGTGAAATAAGAATAGAAGGAGAGTTAATTGAGCAAGTGGATGAGTTCGTATATTTGGGATGTGTATTCAGCAGGGATGGTAGATATGATAAGGATATTGAACGACGAGTGAATGTAGGAAATAAAGTAAATGGGGCTCTACACTCTATTGTGAAAATTCAAAATGCGTCAAAAAAGGCAAGTATGGCAATTCACAATGCTGTATTAGTCCCTACTTTAACATATGGTAGTGAAAGTTGGGTGTGGCAGAAGAAGCACGAGAGTAGAATAAATGCAGTAGAAATGCGGTCGCTAAGGAGTACGTTAGGGCTGAATCTGAGTGACAGGGTGAGAAACTGTGTGATAAAAAAAGGGTGTGGTTTGCAAGATGATGCAGTCACCAGGATTAAGAAAGGAATGCTTCGGTGGTTTGGTCATGTAGAAAGAATGAATGCGGAAAGACTTAAAAGGAAATATATGTTGCAGAAGTGAATGGAAGAGTCGGAAAGGGACGTCCTAGGCGGAAGTTTGTCGACCAAATTGGCGATATACTAAAAATGGACCAAATTAAGAGTACCCTTAACCGACGAGCATGTATGCGTAGGTATATGGATGTGGAAGAAGCGACAGAGGTATGTCAGGATCGTGCTAAATGGAAGTCTGTAGTCTCTGCTTACCCCTCTGGGTGACAGGTGAGTGTTTATGAATTAGAAAGATTAACTAGCAATAAAAATTAAAAAACCTACGATATCAAATAGGAAATTTATCAAAAAAATAATAAGATATTTTTTTTGTTAAAAAAACTTTTATTTTTAATTTTTGGTCTGCAACTTCAAAACTAGTACGTTGAGATAACCTTTTTAGCATGTTTTATTAAACTACATAGCTTACTGTACAAGTTCTCCAAAATAACATGCGTTCTATCTCTTTTCGTTTTTAAAATAATAATCATCAAAGAATGCCATCGGTATGTTGATTTGCGCTTATGCGCCGCACCTACCTCTAATTTGAACACCCCTGGTCGAAGATCGTAGGTTTTTTTAATTTTTATTGCTAGTTAATCTTTCTAACTTTCAAATAAAACTACTTTGAAAAAAATACACCGTTTCCTTAAAGAGAAAATAATTTAAAACCGAAGGATGGTAATTTTACCAAAACAAAAAAATTTAAATGCTTTTATTTTTTAAATAGTTTACATTAAAACAAAATTTCGATTTTTTTTGCCGATAATTTTTTATCTAGTATTCGCACATTTCGTTTGATCAATTGTAAAAGTGTGTGTGTGTAGGAAGGTAGTTAAGTAGAATTAATTTACAATCACAAAATACACGGATCACAGGGAATCGACTATAAATTGTACTGAAACTAATTTAATAGCTGATAATAATAATTAATTCGTTTCCACGAATTAATTATCCGAATAGTCTAGAATGAGCTATAGTAGCGGGATATAACAAGTGAACCATGACACGCCAGCGCCAAGACTGCCTAACTGCGGCCATTCCATCCGTTTAATACAATCGAGACTAGTAGCTACCCGCGCGCCACTGCAGGTGCAACGCGCAGGTGTGCGGTGCACGTGTTGTTTACAATAATTCCGACTAGCCACAGAGGCGCTGCTGCACGTGCAATGGCGCAGGTACCGACATATATATATATATATATATATATATATATATATATATATCGGTACCTAGCTATCCTATCTAAAAAACTATCCTATCTCTCAAGTTGGACCAAATTGCACACGGTGTGCAAATTTGATTAAAACCGGTTGACTAGTTTAGGAGTCCATCGCGGACAAACAACGTGACACGTAATTTATATACCTATATTAGTATATATATATATATATATATATATATATATATATATATATATATATGTATATATATATATATATATTTATTTATTATACTTAATTATACTTTAATTACAAGACATATTTCTATAAATGCATATTTGGAAATAATTCAAGGAGTTGTTAAGTGCAGGAGTTTGCACCGTATTAGCGCAGCCAAAGAGTTTTCCTACTCCGTAACCCCCTCAGAAGTTCGAGGAGTTGTACCTATACCCATTACTTAAAGTAATACTTACACTAAGCATAAGCATCGGGTCAGCGTGTATTAACTTCACAAAGCAGAGCAACAGGTTTCTGTATGCGGGCATCTCTTCAGATTTGTTGAATTTCGATTGAACCTCCTTGGATTTCAGCGACAGTGATATCATGCGAAGAGGCGTGTGCACTATATACCCCTGTAACAGCCAAACTATAAATTGAACTAAGTATTTAGATAGAAGCTTCTTCAGTTAGAGCCTATACCAAAAGTCCAATGCTGAACATAGGCCTCCCCATAAATTGGCTCATAGGAGGGTTATTTTCCACAGTTGCTTGGCAGGCGGGATGGCAAGCTTTTTTTTTTAATTTTTTTAACTTTATTTTCCTCTGTCGCCTCTTATGCCGCCCAGGAACGATATAGGAAGGATAGTTGATATTTTTATACCGCCACTACACGGTCTTCGGTATTATACTTAACTGAACCCTTTACTGGAACAAGTATATATTTATTTCGTACGTTTTGTACGCTTCAAGCATTAAGAAAGCTTAACTCGGCCAGTTAAGGTTCCTTTTTTTATTCTTAGACAATGTACATTTTGAAAAAGTTAAAACTCATTATTCAATTACTCAGTTCAAAATATCTCATTTAAAATAACCAATATATTTGATAATTGTTATACACTACTTACACTACGAGCCGTGGTAGCTCAGATGATTAGCGCTGGCTGTAAATTTCACAATACACGACCAAACCGAATTCGATCCCCGCCGGCACCAATGAAATTATTAATTACAATTTTAAGTGCTGATTTACCACGTGTTCGGCGGTAAAGGAAAACATCGTGAAAAAATCTGCATGTCAGAGAAATAAGAAAAAAAATATTTCGAAGACATGTGAAGTTCGCCAACACGCATTGGAGCAGCGCAGCGGACTGTCCCTTGCCCTAAAACTCTCTCAGAAATGAGAGGAGGCCTGTGCCCAGGAGTGAGACGTATATAGGCTGTAACTTTATACACTACATACCTGTGTTGCTTTATTCAGAGTGTCGGTGAACATGGCCCTCAGTTCAGCAGCTCTCGGATATAGCAATTCAATTTGCGGCCACCACGGTAACCTCGGTTGTTTTATTATTCTTAAATAAAATTATTACTTTTACTGTTTCATGCCCACAAAATTTAAGGTGAATTTAATATTTTGAAGAAACCACTAGTGAGATATTACACACAAAATCTAATAATAATTCGCAGATTTTCATTATGGGCAGTAAATGCATACAAAATGTCCTAACAAAATATTTTTTTCATCATCGTCTACATAATTTAACTTTGATAATTTCGGACAGGATTTTACGATTTCAACTAGTCAGAATGTGATGTAATCATCAAATTAATAATAAAAATGTCAGTTTGTAGGGCGGTAAACATGGTTCTACATGTACAATATATTAGATCATATTAACGTGGTATAGCAATGATGTAGCTGTATTTTGGCTACAACATAAACGTAACATAAGCTGTAGCGTAGCATAAGAAACATAGCTTTACTGGGAGAAGGTATCGCCTTCTAAAAAAACCAACTAAAAAGAGCAGAGCTGCTGTATTTCGTATAGTGAGTAGGTAATACACAGACGGAAGAATCTTTTACTACCAAGAAGGCCATCCAATTCAATTCTCAGAAGTAACAAGACAGTGTATATTCTTACTCGAGGACAAAATAAAGGTATTGTTGCATGAATAAGTCAACTAGCGCCATCTAGTGTCAGGAACGAGAGCGAGGGGAGCATTGAGAAAATGACATCACGTCACAGGAGGAACAGATGCTTCTCATGAAGGACCTTCACGCTACCTTCGGGAAAGAGATAAGGGAGGTGAAGGATAAGGTTGCTCAACATGAAAACCGCCTGTCGGAAGCTGAAACCCGAATTGACCAAGTGAACAATTGGGTTGACAACGTAATGGCTGACATGAGGAAATCACTTGACGAACTCAAACTTGGGGAGGGAAATACAGCTCCCGTAGTAGCTACTACACCTTCGCTACGTGGGTTCAAGGTGCCACCATTCGACGGGACTTCTTCCTGGTCAGCCTACAAAATCCAGTTCGAAGCTGTTATGAAGGCGAACGGCTGGAATAACAGTCAGGCAATGACTGCTCTCACACTAGGCCTGCGCGACCAGGCCTTAACAGTTCTGGAAGCTCTCGGTGAGGAAGTAACTTATGAGCAACTCCTTGAGGCATTGGAGGCGAGATATGGCGACGCACACCTGGAACACGTCTTTCGTGCGCAGCTTAAAGATCGTGTGCAGCGCATCAACGAAAACCTGCAGCAGTGGGCTCTAGAAGTGGAGAAGCTGGTGCGGAAAGCATACCGGTCTGTACCTGCGCTCATTGAAGGGAACCTGGTGCAGACATTCATCGACGGCATCCGCGACCTGGAAGTCAGAGCTGCTGTGAGGCTCGGGCACCACGAGACGCTTAAGAACGCCTTGGCCCATGCACTGGAAGTGGAAGCCGTGCGGCAGGATCATCGTTCCCATCGCGTCAGGGAGGTTGCGGCAGCTACAGTTCGCGACCGCAACAAAGGATACAGCCCTAGGTGCTATGGCTGTGGGGAAAAAGGCCATCTTCGAATCAGCTGCCCTAAGCGAACCGTGGAAAGGAGAGTTGATCGATCTCGAGAGGGTAGTGCAGCTAACAACACCGCCTGGCGGCGACAGGATCATCGTTCACCTCACGCTAGGGAGGTTACAGCAGTTACGGTTCGCGACCACAATAAAAGATACAGCCCTAGGTGCTATGGCTGTGGGGGAAAGGGGCCATCTTCGGTCCAGCTACCCTGAGCACACCCTACGAAGGGAAGGTGAACGGTCTCAGAAAGGAAGTGCGGCTAACAGCACCGCCCAGCAGCAGCAGGAATACGACTTTACTATCAGACACTGCAGCGGGAAATCTCACGGCAACGCAGATGCATTGTCAAGAAGACCTTGTCCTGAAGATTGCAACCATTTTAGTAGGCAAGAGAGTAAGGAGGTGGTATCCGTGAGGATGCTCAGGACAGACCACCTCAGCAACGGGTGGAAGGACAACCTACGACATGCACAGCAGGAAGATCCGGACATCAAGCCGATTCTGGGATGGATGAAGGCCCGTGCTACCAAGCCTAAGTGGAGGGACGTCTCAGCGATGAGTTCAACCACGAAAAGCTATTGGGCCCAATGGGACAGCTTGCTGCTTCAGGATGGAGTCCTGTGCCGTAAATGGGACAATGGTCGAAGACACAGCTGTCGTTTGCAAATGGTTGTCCCTAAAGCTAAAGTGCCGAATGTTCTACAGTTGTGCCATAATGGTCGTTCAAGAGTCCATCTGGGAGTTAAACGAACTCTACCGAAGGTTCACTTGTGTGGTTGCACAATCCAGTCCGCAGCAAAGGGAAATCTCCTAAGCTTCAAGCTAAATGGGACGGCCCGTACCGGATTGTAACCAGGATCAACGATGTGACCTACCGGATACAGAAAGGCGCAAGAGGGACTCCTAAGATCGTCCATGTGGATCGCTTGGCGCGTTATTATGGGACCGATAATGCTCGGGACGAGCATGTCTTAGGAGGGGGCAGTGTTGCATGAATAAGTCAACTAGCGCCATCTAGAGTCAGGAACGAGAGCGAGGGGAGCATTGAGAAAATGACATCACGAATCACTCAACCGACAGCGCCTAGTCGAAACTCGAACGCTCGGTACCTTGCGCGTGTTTACTTGAACATTCTGGATATTTCTTTGCTAATTTAAATATATAGGCGCTGCAAGATGCGATGGGAGTAGTGTTGATTTGGCGAAACAAGCGAAGCTTCGGAGCGGAATAAAGTGAATTAGTGTGTTTAATTATTAGTGTTTTTAACTTTAATTTGTGTAAAGTAAATTAAAGTGTTAATTTAGGTAATTTTATCGGCAATTTTTATTGTCACGAACCTCAAGCTCGTAACAGTATCTATGGACTACAGCAATTAAAAGTGAATTGTGTGTGGTCGTTGGTCACCTTTACTTATATTAAAGGACATAATCTTTACAAGGTAAAAAATCATCAGGAAATGAATATAATATGAAATGAATAGAATATATTAATGAAGAATATTTATAGAAAGAAAATTGTACATCGGTAACGCAAGCGCAATTCTAAGTGATCTTTAATTAAATTGAAAACCCTAAATTTTTAAGTAGCATAACTTATGTGTAACTATAATAGTAATTCTAGATTAAAAAATATAGTCCAAACATCTACTTACCTTAGTAACGAGTTGACGATGACGTAATGATATGATATATGCGTGTTTAGATTGAGACAAACTTTAAGTGCGTCGTTATTGTGCGGCATTATTCGGAACAACGACACAAAACAATCAGTCATCAGATCCAGTTCCGAGTATCCGGATATCAGATTCCCACGTATATATGATTTTGAAGGATTGAACAGCAAGGACTAGAAAATAAATATATAACTTGATTACTCAGTTGAATACACTACTATATCTCAAGGAATAGAAAGAAAAACAAACGCACAAATAATACGTACGAATAAGTGACCGAAAAATTACTAACCATCTTCCGTGTCATCAAATTAGTGACATTGGGCTGGTTACATACCGCAAAGTCAGAGTCAAAGTCAAAACTATTTATCCTATGTAGTCTTGTATTAAGCTCTTACGAATTTCAACATCTACACCGGTTCGGATAACAAGACTTCTCAGAAAAGCAAAAACTACACGTCGTTGATTAGAAGTGAGCTATCTGTGAAAGGTACGCTTAAAGACAATTATCTGGATAAGTTAGCGCCTTAGTAAAGGCCTAAATTATCCTGATGTAGATGATATAATATGTGCTGATATATACATTTTTGACTTCTAGATACAAAATATCGATATGGTTAAAATGACCGTCATTATCATGCTTCATGGTCACTGGGTAACTCAATTTTCTACATATTAAGAATACCTTTAGCTATTCTTAATGTTATTCTTATTGTAATATATTTCAATGCAAACATTCTGAAAAGAATACATTGTAAGAATTTAATTTACACAAAACATTTACATATTGCGGTACTTGGTAAAGTTTTACTCATTTTAGTTCATAGATAGATAGATAGATAACTCTTTATTACATTTGAACAAAGTTATTACAATATAGTTAGTGCACTTGCGTCGCTCGTGCGCGAACTTTACACGTTTTAATAATCGTTTACTTAAGTTCCGTGTGTTGCATATTATTTTATAATACAAGTGACTTAAATCCACAAAAATTTGACTTTAATCTAAATTCAAGAAAAAGATTATTTGAAATTAAAATCAAACAAAAATGTTCTTTCTGAGAATTCTAGATCTAAAATGTCAACCTCATGTCCGAATGAAGAAGTTTTGTTAGTAAACACAGAGAACCAAAAAATTTCAGTACAACAATTACATCAATCCAAAGATTCAATGAAACAAAATACCTTGAGATCGTTAATAACGGACTTCACAAGGACAAATGTAACATTCCCCGAGTCCGCAATATTCAGATATGTTGATGCCTTACATAGCTTGACGCATGTGACAACTGCTGCCTCAATCATCTGCTTTGAGTTATTCTGCGGACCTACGCAAATGTTTGTATAATTTTAGTAAAACGTAATGAAATTTGACTATCACATTCACAATTGAATTGAAACGAAATATATTCGGCATTGCTGATAAAAACCGACGTTATTACGTTTTAAGTTTCTCTCTCTTACTTTCTCTTTCTCTTTTCACTAAAAAACAAAAAAGGCAGGTATAGAGATAATTAATACTTAATTTAAGTAAGCGATAATCAACAACTATAAGTAAATAATAATTTACTGTAATCAATTCGCTTGGTAGGCGAATAGGCAATAGCAATAGCTGCGTAAGAGTATCCTTCACTATATCATAAAAGTGAATGTCGTAAGAGACGACATATGAAAATGTCGAAACATCTTGCAATTTTTGCTACATTGCTGATTGAACTACAACTTTAGAATGATTTAACCCAGAATAGGAAGAAGGAAAGAGAAAGATAGAGAAATAAATTAACTAAAATTTAGCACTCTAATAAAATAGATAAACTCCAATAGAATGTAGATTAAGCAAAAAAAAACTTACTAAGTCCTCTTTTAACAGAATCAATAAAGTGTTTTTTCTTTGTGTGCCGAGGGCTGCACGGGGCACCACTATCTGCATTTACTATTTCTTCTAGTACTTTCTGTGAATAAACGAATGAATTGGATTAATGATGCTAATTGGTGTAATCATTTCACCTTAATAAAAAAAACTATTCAATTTTGTGGAGAAACACGATAACAAGATACAGGTGATCTCTATTTTCTAAAGTTAATATTAAACAATGAAAGTATTAAGCAAGATCTATTACTTCATATGTTTACAGGTTTGTATTACGTTATTTAAAATATTTAAATGGCGCGATTACTTGCGAACTACTTTGAAGCTTAATAATTATTATCGTAAAAGATGCAGCTAATAATAATAAAGACTTCGTGGCGCAGTGGCTTAGCCATGAGTGGCTGCGCTGGGGGTCGCAGGTTCGTATCCTGCACAGAACAAGTACTGGTATGGCCTACAAGTAATTGTTCCAGCTCTGGATGTTTGTCCTTGTGCAATTTATGTTTGTAAACTACCCCCACGATACAGGAGAAAATCCTAGTGTATGTGTAACGTTTTTTAAAATAAAACAAAAAAAATGATAACCTATGCTAGTAATATCGAAAAAAATTACATGTAGGAGACACTAAAAATAAATTTTTCTAATATTCTATTATATGATGGAAATAATATTATATAGTCCCCATTTTAAACTCATTAGTCAAAAACATTGAAGTTACGACTGAAATATCTGGACCGGTAGACAGAACGAAATTATAAATTCCTTTTATGATAGCGGAACCTTAGAACAAGTTTTTACAACTGCTTTTTCACACTCTGCACCTGATAAGCCTTGCAAGCCGCTATTTGTATCTCTGAAAATACTACCCCTCCCATGCCTGTAGATTTTTGAAATAGCAAAGTTTGTAAAACAAAACATGTATTACTTCAGACAAGCGAAAGAGATCTATACGCAAAATACCAGAAATGGCAATGGACTTGCTGCTGAAATTATACCTAAGTGTTCGGTTTAAAAAAAGCTGCTACTGGATGTGTATGCGCATATTTAATAAAATACCCCAAAATATAAAAGACTTACCCCTCAATAGATTTAAAGGCGCCCTTTACAGGTGGCTAAATGATCATTGTTTTTATAATGTGAATGACTACCTAAATTTGACATGATGTGACGACACAACAGTAGTTCTATATTTTTAATTGCATTTTCAATTTTATTTATTTTTAAATTTGTATGTATTAGTAATTTGTAAACGATGACTATTTTATGATGAATATTTTAATTGAATTCGATATTTTAATATAGTAAACTTAATTATAAAAAATGTATTTGCATGCTATCCATAGATGGCTGAAAAAGCTGAATTACACTTTACAATAAGAATTCTGAAGATACCAGGGTATAGAGTCGTCTCAACGTACTCCCGTAACTCTAAAAGAGGGGGTTCTTGTATCCTAGCTAAAACTAGTATAGAATGTAAAACCCTGGGCATTGTTAGTGATTTGGCATGCAATTTTAATTTTGAAGGTGCTGGTATAGAGCTCACATCACAAAAAATCTTCATAATATGTATATACAGAACCCCTAATAGTAATCCCCAAATTTTTATTGACAAACTGGAACAACTTTTGTTGAAAATTTGTAATAGATCCAAAAAAATAATATTGTGTGGAGATTGGAACTTTGACACTCTAAGACCAAATAAAAATTGTCAATATTTGATAAATTTATTAAAAAAAACTTTAATATGGAAATGCATATTAAGTCACCTACTCGACAAACGAAATGTATCGATCAATTTGCAAGTAATATAAGACAAATACGAGCTGAGGTTCACTACTTAGGTTTGTCTGACCACGAGACGGGTCAAACTCTTACAATACAGGCGAGTAAAAAACGAGATTTTATTAAGTGGTTGGAACGTCGTCGTCGACGACCGAGTGCTTTCCGATCGGCTCGATTCACTGGCACTGCGAAGAGATGTTGCATCTCTTTGCATTTCTCTTTCTTTCGCATACACCATGGCGAGTGCTCCGAGGAATTGTTCGGATTAATCCCAGCCGCCAAATTTTGTGAACGCACTACGCGGCAAACGTCCCGATACCATCCACACCATCTGGATGCTTGGCGGTCCACCACTGTACGTTTCAAGAGGAGTTTTCTTCCGCGTACAACCTCTCTGTGGAATATTTTACCACCAGCGATTTTTCCGGACCGATACGACCTGGGGACCTTCAAGAAAAGAGCTTACTCCTTTCTAAAGGGCCGGCAACGCACCTGCAAGTCCCCTGGTGTTGCGGTTGATCATGGGCGGCGGTAGTCACTTAACATCAGGTGAGCCGCATGCTCATTTGCCCCCTCTGCTATAAAAAAAAAACAAGCTCGAGATTTTAGTGAGAATAATATTAATAAATTTTGTAGCTGCATATCTTCAATCACTTTTTCTGATGTTTACGAACAATCATGCTTAAATGACGCTTTTCGAAAGTTTCATCATCTATTCGAACTGTTTTTTAATCTGTGCTTTCCAGTAATAGTTGTAAAAAAAAACTAACAAAATTAGCAAAACTCTTGGTTAACAAAAGGTTTAAAAAAGTCTTGTATATTAAAAAGAAAACTATACTTAAAATACATACGGACAGGTGCTAACAAAAAGAAAAATTATAGAAAATATAAAAAATATCACAATACCCTAAAAAATGTACATAAATCGTTACAATTACAAAATAGAAAGTATATAGATAGGCATAAAAAGCAAAGCAAAGCAGTTTGGGAGGTTATAAATGCGAATATTGGTAAAATAAATGTAAATTTCCAAATAGATACTATTCTAAATAATAACGAAATATATTCTGAACCAAGTGACATTAGTGAAGCTTTTAATAATTTTTATATAGACATGACCAATACAAATGATTTTAATTTTAAAATAGAGGACATAAATACTACTATGAATATTAATAATTTAAACACAATATTTTTAAAACCGACACATGAAGTTGAAATAAATAATGTAATTAAAAGACTTAATAATACTAATTCAGTAGCATTAGATAATATAAATACAAAAATAATCAAAGCCTGTGCTAAGTATATATGTGGACCTTTGAGCTACATTATAAATATTATGTCGCTTGAGGAAGGTACTTTCCCTGAAATTTTAAAAAGCTCAATCGTTAAGCCAATATTTAAGAAGGGAGAGGCTACAGATATTAATAATTATCGCCCAATCACTTTAATACCAGTTTTCAGAAAAGACTTTACGATTATGTTACAGATCAAAATATTATTAAACATGAGCAGTTTGGGTTTAGAAAAAATAGTAACACGACATTAGCATGTTTTAATTTAATAAAATATATTACGGAGGCCATTAATGAAAGGGCACCGGTAAGTTCGATCTTCCTTGATATGACTAAAGCTTTCGATTTCGTAGACCATACATTATTACTATATAAGCTTGAAAAATACGGAATCAGGGGAAAAGCACATGACTGGCTGAAGAGTTATCTGACTGGTCGTGAACAATGCGTAGAGGTTACTAAAATACAAAAGGGCAATAAAATTACAAGCAGGTCTCGGTTACAAAATAATAAATACGGTGTCCCACAGGGAAGTGTGTTAGGCCCCTTTTTATTTATAATATACATCAATGATCTTCCAAACGTCACTGACCACGAAACTGTTCTGTTTGCGGATGATACCACTGTAATTATTAAGTGTAAGGATAGAAAAATTCTATGAAAATGAAATATCTGTTACACTCGACAAAATCTTTAGATGGCTCAAAAGTAACAATCTAAAAATAAACTTAAATAAAACCAAAATGATACAATTTAGAGATTATAGAACTCCACCTATTGGACTGAATATTTGTTATAATAATACAAAAATTGAAGAAGTCCACTCTAATAAATTTTTAGGATTAATGGTTGATATGCACTGTGACTGCAAAACTCATATAGAGTACGTATGCGATAAACTTGAGAGATTTGTTTATGCTATAAAACAGCTACGGTTGACAGTATCTACTGAAGCGGCGCTGAGCGCTTATTTCGTCTAAGTCTCTTCAGTGCTTTCCGGCCTCTTGTTGTAGGGCAACTCTTTTGAGGTTGGCAAGGCCTTTCGTATTCAAAAGTGTGTAAGGGCCATTTGTGGAGCTTAGTCTTTAGATATTGCAAGCCTTTATTTCACAAATTTCACATACTGCCTCTAGCTTGTATGCACATACGGGAACTTTGTGTTTTTGTCAAAAATCATCCAGAATATTTCACCATTAACTCAAGTTTAGTCAGTAGAAGTGCCATGCCAAGAAATAAATTTAAGCTATATCTGCCTCAATGCAGAGTTGATATATATAAAAGAAATGTATTCATAAATGCCATTAGAGTTTACAATAAATTGCCTAACACTTTCAAAGACCTACCTTTCGTTATTTTTAAAAGGAAACTCACAGAATGGCTGGAAACAAAATGTTTTATAGTATATATGACTTATAAATAAATCTACAATAATGGTAATAATGGAAAAACTGATTATTATTTTCTTCTTTTTTTTGTCATTTAATATTAATTTATTTTACTTTTTGACATTTTTTAATTTTTTTAGATACTTGACATTTATATATAACCATTTACATAATTAATTAAATTTTGACATGTATTTATTATAATTTAAAAATTTGGTGCTGAAATATTTTTAAAAGATTACATCATTGTTTTTCTTCAATAATTTAACCTCATAAAATTTCAATTATATTTTTTGTATATTATAAAGATATTGCACGCCAATATAATGGTAGAATGTAAGATCTGATTAATAAATAAAATCATCATAATATTATGTACTACATTCTGGCAATGAATAAATGAATTTGAATTTGAATAACCACCTTAATGTGCCCATTTCAAAGCAAATAAATCTTCATTTCATTTCATTTCTACAATGTTTGCGCCCAGACTGTTTTAACATGTGCAATTGTGCTGCTGCTGCAATATTATTAACATTTTATAAACTCACAATTATTATTAGAGTCGTCAGCACGAATCCTCAGGTTTTTGTAGGGCTTTTGGTGAAATATTATT